AAACCCTTCCTGGGGGGGGGGGGAGAAAGACAGTTCGAAACTTTTCCAAGTTTCCCTAAGTTCAAATTCCAATTGTAGTATTCTAAAAAAATATTTCTACTTCTACAAACATTGTGTGTGCATTCTTATAGATATTAAATCATAATTTTTTTTTGTAAATAAATATAATTGATCAATTTATATTTATTCAATAAATTAATTTCTGGCAATTTTTTAAATAAAATATTATAAATTTAAGAATTGTTTCAGTTCACTTAATGTGGAACACATTAAAAGTGATACATTACTAAGTTGTGTTACTTAAAATAGGTCAATTGAAATTATTAAAAATGTGAGTGATTTTGTTTCCATTATTCGTCCGAAATGAATATTCTGTGTTGAGCAGTACTAAATACAAAATATTTGATGTTGCGTCTCAAATTCAGTAGCAGCAATTGTTGAGCAGAATCTTGTATCTATTTACAATTTAAAAACTTCTTGCAAAAATTTTTAGCAATTTTTGCTGTAACAGAACCCTATTTGCACAAATTCACAAAAACAGGACCCTGGTAGAAAGAATGTGACTTAACGCTTATTTTATATTCACAAATTATGAGTAGTTTTTTCACAATTTTACAAAAACAGGACCTTTCACAAAATGTCTGGACAGACCCCTGCAAAAGATTTCTCAACACAGTATCAAAATTTGAGGGATTAAATATATATTAGTAAAAGCTTGCATTGCAACATAGATAAAATAAAAATGATAAAAGCCTTTTTAGTTATGTTTTTTCCGAAAATGTCAGAACTCTTTCTTTACATTACAAATTAAGAACTATGAACATAAATAAATTTTTACAAATAAAAATACCCTGTTTGGTGTATTGTTTTCTTGTCCACAATTTTCATGTTTTCTTTTTGCAGCTTTAGGAGTCTGCGGCCAAGTAGATTGCTTAGTTGCTAATGCTGCAGCCTTGTTATTAAGAACATTCATGTCAATTGCAGTAAGAGGACTTATTTCTTGAAAGCTAGAAGGTTTCAAAGACTGAAGACGTTCTTTCACACTTGGAGCCTTAACAGTTTTATGTTTTTCAACTTTTGCCATTAAAGTTTTCAAAAATATTCCCAATTTTCCAGTAGGACAGTTGGAAATGAAAATTTGTAGTGGTGGGTCTTTTAAAGTTATTGTAGATTTACCCTCTTTAAAAAACTTAGTGTGTAATGTTACATCTTTAACATCGTAAGATGCGTTAATCTTTCCGCATTCCAATTTTAAAACTAAATCCCTAAATTCATTTCTTCCAAGATGAATAAAGCTTTTGGGATTCGCAATTGATTGCGTCATATTGCCTTTGCCGTCGAGATAGCATATTTTAATTGAACACAAAAGGGAAATGTCTTCTAGATTTTCTGACATAATCAATTGCAAAACATTAAAGTTAGCTTTATTTTTTAATAGTAACCATCAACTTCAAAGTAGTAAAAATTTTAGTCACCAGAATTAAAATTATAAAAATACGCAAAATTTTTAAAATTGCCGCTGGCGAAAACAAAAGAAAGTGTAACTGATTCTATTGGTTACAGTTAAGAAACAAAGCTCAAAAATCTCATTTTTATTATTTTAAATAGATTTCCATCGGTATTTAAAAGTAAACATATGGAAAAAAATTTCTTAATATTACGAAATCAGCATAGAAGAAAATTATTATATATATTTTTTGTTCGCAATATTTTAACTGTAACGTCTTGAAACCACAATATAAACAAATCCAAGTGTAGTGCTGCTGCCGCGAAATGTGTTAAAATTTATATAACACTGATTTTTTAGTAAAACTAAAAAGTATCACTCACTACCAAATTCGAATTATTGTTAAAAATAAGCATTTCTTCTTCAAAATTAGCTTAATGATGCAAGCTAATCGAGTTTTGAAATCTAGACTTCTGTGGAAGTCTTGTCCCAGTCAAATAAAATCATTTTGCTCTCTGGTTCAACCTATTAAAAGTAATCATATCCTTTCTATATTCCTTTTAAAGCTAAAAATTAATATATTATATGAATATTATTAATATACGAATATATATTATGAATCTTTATTAATAGCTGTGCATTTTAAAATCACTCATAAATTTTATCATTTAGTGCGATTTAAAAATTGAAGTGTTTAAATAAGACTAATAACTAATCTATATTTTTTAGCACAGTTTGTTCATGCATTAAAATTTATATTTTGAAGTATTATTTATTGTAGCTATATTTAAATTCAGTAAAAAAATTTAAATATAAGGAATTTTAACTTCTTTATGATCCCTGCATCCTGAAACACTAAAAGAATCATTTCATCTCTTAAACAAAACATATGTCAGTTAACGATTTCTTAAAAATGATAATCGTATTTACTTGGGGCAATTGAAACGTTTCAATTTACAAAAAAATTTAATATTGACAGTTGCTTCCATTGCTTAGCATTTATTATTATTTTAGTAAAATATATTTATATTTGATAATATTAAAATTGTCCTTTTCAATTATTCATTTCATAGGTTGCTTAGAGCAGTTGATTTTTGAAAAACAAACTGAAAATGATTGAATTTAAATCATTTGTTAAAAATTGCATTATCTGAAAACAAGATAAATTACTTAAAATTTGTGTTGTCAAAAAGAACTAGACTTGAAATTAACTGGATTATCATACAACTGAATATATTTTCAGGTTCTTAAAATGATAGAATATATCTTTTTAAAACATCAAACTTTTCAAAAATAAATTAGTACTGCTGTAAAGTTTTTGTTTTGAAATGTAGACTATTATGCAAATCGAATTAAGTCTGTTTATTATTAAAAATCTCAATTGACTTTATTAGAGTGAAGGCAATAATTCTTGTCCAGGGGTTTAGTCTTTTGACTGATCTTAATCTTTATTTAATTATTATTTAAGAAGTAAAAAACCAAGAAAAAGATTGTATTAAAAAAAATTTAAAAATAAATAATGCGTATAGTTTCCACTCAATTTTATATCGTATCCTTTGTAATTTGCTTAACTATTTTATTTAATAGTGTGCATAATTGAGGAAACTAGGTACTGCTGTTGTTATTAGTTGGATATTATTCACCTATTCCTCAAAAATTTTAGGTCTGGAAATTTGTACAATTTTCATCTCTTTTTCCTGTGAAAAACTCCTTAATTCAAATGCCAATCAAAGAAATTGATTCTACAGCTATATCCTAAATTGTATTTTTAATTTTTTTCTTTATAAACAAAACATTGGAAAAGAATTTTGACAAAAAAAGATATTAAGCTTATTATTATTATTGATTATTCTTTTTCTGCTAATGTGATGGTAGTTTTTAATGATAATATTTAAATTATTATTTTGTAAAATAGCTTTGTAATTTTTCATAGTTTCATTTGGATTTTTGCACATTTTGAAACATATTGAGACCTAAAGAAAAAATGTTTTATTTTAATTTGAAAAATTAAATTGATTTTTTTAAATTTTAGTTCAAGAAAGGCCTGCTTACCCTGAATATGCTAAAAAGAAACCTGACATACCTTCTTCATCAGAATTAAAACCTCTTTATTTAGATGTTCAAGCAACTACACCTGTTGTGAGTATAATTAGACTAGTGTTCTTTAAATAAATATCTGTTACATAGATAAATGAATATGTATGAGTTAATTTATTATTTCATTGTATGAATTAATTTATTATTTTATTGTATAAATATATTCTAATGTCTTAATATTGATAATTGTTTTAATCCAAGAAAGTCTTTAAAAAAAAATTTTTTTTTTTTTAGTATTAAAAATTGTTTTAATATAGTTGTATACATGTCATTAATTTTATCCAACTGATTCTGATAAAGATAATTATAAAATGTGTTACTTAAATATTTTGTATTTTTTTAAAGATGTTAAAACTTTAATTTAAATCTTGGTTAAATGGTTTAAGGACAAATATACTAATTTTATAATGTAGGTTGTTAAAGAAATTCATTTAATTTTACATTGGTAAATAATATTTCTGAAAACAATTGACTTTAATGATTAGAGATAATATGGTGGTGGTGGTACTTATTCCTCTTGGCCCAGAACAAGGGTAGACCAAGTCCAGGAGACCATTCACCGACAGAAAATCAAACACCATCTGCGGATCCTCCAAAATAAAAATTTTCTCCAGTCCCATACAGGTCAGCAAATCATCAAGTGAAGCCTGGTGAGCACTACAATTTAGGCATACAGGAAACATCTTTTGACCCTGAACAAATGTGAGTCCGCAGGTATGACCAGTGATTAGTCTTGTGATAGCTGTCTGTAGTTTCCTATCACCTTTTAGCTCCAGGGCAGCCCAAGGACTATTTTGTTGATACCATTCACGACTAGGTAGAATCCTCCAAGTCCTATTATTGTCGGCCTTTACTTTTGCATAGATTTCATTGTATGTTAGAAGGCCACTACTATCTATGGGATCATTGGAGCCCTCCTTGGCCAGTTCATCGGCCAGATCATTAAAGTGAAGGTTCACATGGGAGGGGATCCACTGAATATGTATATCATTGTGATAAGAGTAAGTCATCAAATTGTCGCTGATTTTTAGGCCAATTCTGTCACTGATGTTTTGCCAATTACTCAGGTATTGAACTGAGTTCTTACTATCCGTGAAAATCCAGATATTCTCTGTACTCTCAATGGAAATCATGTGTTCTAGAGCTGCGTTTATGGCGATTAGTTCTGATCTGAAAACTGAACAATGGGTTTGGGTTACGCCTTTTAATTTTTGCAACGTCATCTTGGTTTTTATGACAACACCACTACCAGTGTTGCCATTATCAGATTTGCTTCCATCCGTGAAAATATGTACTGCTTCATGCTGATTTTTCTTACTACTGGAGGCCAAAAGTTCCTCGTGAAAGAAAACCCTTGGAAGGTCTTTTAGTGGGTCTATATTTGGTTCTATCGAGCAGTGTTCTATGTCAGGGAACAGCAGATTCAATTTACCTGCCCTGCAAAAGGGACTGTCTCTTTTTAATCTCTGGACATCTGTCCAATTCATCAAGTAGGTAGAAGTACGATGTTGGTCTCCATAGCTGTATAGCTTGCTGTAATATTTTGCAGTGCTGGAAGTCCATCTCATAAACAATGGTTGGAGGTTAGCCTCTTATAGGACAATCTCATTAGGGCAGCTATTACGTAAGCCTGTAATGATCCATACAGCACTCAGCTATATCCTTTCAAGCANTTCTTTGCATTAGAAAAAACATCACTTTATTAAGTAAAATTAATTTAAAGCTATATTTCAATTTATTCTCATAATGTGTTAAACGTCACAAATAAAAAAATGCCAAAGTTTGCATAACTATGCCAAAACGTCTACGATAACGATATACATAACAACCCTACTACTTTTGCCTCCTCGAAAAGTAACACACAAATTACAACAAAACGTTTCCTATTCATAGCTGGTTAAAGTAGTTACCACCCACTGACTGAGTGGGGGAAGAATTTTTGCAAAAAGGCGCCGTAACGAGAGGAGAATTTTTTCACCTGACTAGCCGCAACTAAAAGGTTAATATTGATGATTGTTTTAATCCAAAAAAGTCTTTAAAAAAAATTTTTTTTTTTTTTTAAGTATTAAAAATTGTTCTAATATAGTTGTATACATGTCATTAATTTTATCTAACTGATTCTGATAAGGATAATTATAAAATGTGTTACTTAAATATTTTGTATTTTTTTTAAAGATGTTAAAACTTTAATTTAAATCTTGGTTAAATGGTTTAAGGAAAAATATACTAATTTTATACTATAGGCTGTTAAAGAAATTCATTTAATTTTACATTGGTAAATAATTTCTGAAAACAACTGACTTGAATGATTAGCGAGATATTAAGATAATATTTATCTGATATTCAGTATAAAGGTATTGAGCTCATTTGTCTTATAAATAATATTGAAACAAAATAATAATAATTAAAGAGATATAGTCATGTGCACATTCAAAGTCTAACTTGCATGATGGATGCACTTAATTTTTTGGTTAAGTTGATGTTAAAATTATTGGCTGACAAAACATTTTTCTTTTTATTCATTTATAAAATGTTTTCTATATAAAGAGCTATCAAATTTACATGAAAATGTTAGTAGAACTAATGAAAAAGGACTTGGTATGCTCCGTGCAGTGTAGACTAAAGCAGGGTTGGGTTTTTGCCGTCAAAAACTGGTTTTTGACATAGTGGTAAAAGCCGTCATAAACCTACTGTTTTCTTTAATTTATGGCATATAGCAGACAATATATTATTTTCACATGATTGCCTTTATAAATGAATGTTGTAAATGATTGCTATTGATTTTGCAACTATATACATGTATTTTTATAGAAGGATATACATTCATACAGAAATATTGTAATATACTTATTGAAAATAGTGATACTTTTATCATTATAGCTTGATTTGCAAAGCATTCAAAATTTTTGGGTTTTGACAGTTGGGTTTTTGACAGTTTTTGCCATTTTTGAGAGAGGGGTTTTTGACATGACAGTAAAAACCGTCATGTGTCAAAAACTTGCCAACCCTGGACTAAAGCAAAAGATATATAAAAGTATAGTGATGGCAGTGGTCGGAATACTTTTTTTTCATAGTTTTTAGAGTAGCGTGCTACTTTTTAGAAAAAAAATTAGTGTAGTAAGTACTGCAATAAAAAAAAAGTAATTTGTATCGATTTATAACAACTACTTTGAACCTTTGTTTAGAAAAGAAACACAGCTCTAATGCAACTATTTTTTAGAAATTGATGGGTACAAATCTTTCTAGGTCTGTCAATGGATGTTATGAAAATGACCCTGCAGCTAAGCGTTAACAGGAATAATGTATTTTAAATTGCAAGTAACTGATATTTAAATGAGCCATTACGAAAAATTGATAACTAATTATTTTGCTCTCATACACACTCGTAAAACGTTATTTAAAAGGAAGGGAACATATTTTTTTCAATCTACTTAATTTTTAAGAGGAAATAAAAGAGCATTGATAATTTAATTTCGCATTTCTTGAATAAAATATTCACTGTCGAAAAAAACATCAAAAGTTTAAGGTTAACTGAACAAATTGGAAAAAAAACCTAAACTCGCTCATGTAAACATTAGTAAATATATCTTTATTATTCCCTTAATTAATGCAAGCCAATTTCTTATTTGAAACCATTTTGAACATAGGTGTAAGTTAAGATCTTCAGTAAAGTTCAACTCTTTAAAGTAGGGAAGTAACTACTGCAATTTTAAAGTAGTTTGTAGTCACTACATTTAAAAAAAGTTGTTGTAGTTAACTGTATTTGTAACAAAGTAGTTGTAGTTGAAGTAAACTGCAAAAATGATGTAGATTTTCTGACCACTGAATAATAGATATACTATGGTTTCTATAAAGATAACCTTCCTCACTTAATCACCACTGAGAAAGATTCTTGTTTATAGATCTAAATCTGTAATATGTCAGTTTCTGTACTTTTATTTGTGCCTTATTCAAGTTGTCTTTTGCACAAAAGTATCAAGTAAAGATGTATGTACACTAATATGAAAAATGCAGGTATTTTCAAATATTATGTTTTGAATTTCAAAGGTGTCGATTTTTTTATGTTAAAGAATGAATTAACAAACGAAATGATTAGGTAATTAAATTCTTTTAAATTATGGCATAATTCCTTATTTGTAATTTTCATATTTTGAGGTATATCACTTCTTAATAATAACTATTATAGCATAACTATTATAGCTATATATAATGGAATTTATAGCATTTTTTCACTGTGTCTATGTATAAATTTTCTTTCTCAGATCAATACGATGCAAAGTAACAAAACAAAAAATAACGCAATTAACAAAGCATGTTACTTAAAAATAGATTTTTTCTTTTTCATTCAAATATGAACTTTTAATTCAGACAAATTATAGTAAAAAGAAAAGAACGAAATTAATAAATGAATATGATTTCTTTTTTCTCTGAAAAATTTTGTTTCAATTGCAAGTAATTAAAAATGTCAAACAATTTGTAGGTACCTCTGTTTAGAAAAATATCATTCAAAAAATTAAAGTAAGAAGAAGAAAACAGAAACCTCTTTAAATACAATATTTTTCAACATGTTGTAAAATTCACCATTTGTGCACACGAGGGAATACTAAATTCAGGAATTGACTAAGATTAGATTTTTTTTAACCTTATTTCCATAAAAAACATTTTAAAGGAATTTTTATGTAATATTATTGAAAACAGTTGTTAGTGAACCAAATAATTGACCTAATGTAAAATAGTTTATAGATATTCCGCTTTTCAACGAATCATTTTGTAGGATATTGTATTATTTGACATTTAATCTAAGTTGCTGTCTGTTGCAACTCTATGTTTACTTACTCTATATAGTTTGTGCTTCATTTTCTTAAATTATTAAAATTATCTATATTATTTATTCCACAGAGGAAATTCTAAATTTAATAATATTTTAAACCTTTTTTTTTTTCCCCCTTTAAGGCTAAGTTTGCATTACCACCTAAATTTGAACAAAAATAATCTTAAAATAAAGTTATTCAGAAATATGTTAAATTTGTTATTTATTTGGGTATTAAATACATTTTGAAAGTTAAAAAAAAAAACTAATTTAAATAAAAACTGTGACTTAAGGAACAGTAATATAAATTAAATTTTTATTTATCTATTTCATGAATGTTATTTATAATTTTATCATGAATTTAATAATATTACAAACCCATTTATTAATAGTAAGTTTTCTTTAGCTTATCAGTTAAACTGTTGTAAATTTTCATAACCTTATTACAATTCATATTTGTAATACTTGTTTCCCCCTCATAGGATCCCAGGGTTTTAGATTCAATGCTGCCATATTTTATATCAAATTATGGAAATCCTCATTCAAGAACTCATGCATTTGGCTGGGAAAGTGAAGCTGCTGTTGAGAAAGCCAGAAAAGTATGTTCAAATGATAGGAATAGTTAAATTTTTTCAACTTTCCAGTTTCTGTAAAAAATTAGTTATGCTTACAAAATAATTATTTCTTACAGTAATTATTAATGCAGTTTGCTTTTCTCAATTTTATTCCTTGTTAATATTATCAAAATCTTTAATAAAATAAATTTCATTCTTTAAATATTTGTGCTACATGCCAGATTTCTTTTTTCAACTTTTTTTTCTAAAAAGTACTTACACTAATAATTTGTAAATATATCAAACACTGATGAAGATTCATAATTTAATAATTTTACAGTTTATTGATTTTTTGTGTTAATTTAATCATGACAGAATAAACATTTTTATAAAAATATTTATTCTAATATTTTTCTGAAAATGCTTGTTCCATCAGGAGTGACATTCAAAACTTTAAAGGAAAAATAGTTAAGCAGCCTGACCTTGTGACTGTTCGATTTTGCTAATTTATGTGGTCTATTTTATAAGAAATGCATGGCTGTATTTTTTAATGTTTTTCCTGTCTAATTTTGAGTACTACTATTTCGAAAGATAAAATAAGGTTGCTTTGTATTAAAAGTCTTCTTCTATCTGCAGCAAGTAGCTGAATTAATTGGTGCTGATGATAAAGATGTAGTTTTTACAAGTGGAGCTACTGAATCAAATAATATGGCTGTGAAAGGTGTTGCTCATTTTTATCAAGAAAGGAAGAAACATATAATAACATCTCAAATAGTACGTCATTTGATTACTTTATTATTAAGAGGATATAATTTTAAACAAATAATTGATATGTTTCTGTTGTATTATGAATAATTTTCCAAACTTTATTTTCTTCTTACAAATTTCTTTAAATTTTTGGTTAAGGAGCGGAAACAAAGATGAATACATTTAAATTATCATTTCAGAAATAAAATATTTTTCTTTAGCTAGTTAATAATTGAAAAAGATTATAGGTAATAAAGCTTAAAATTAATAACCTTTCTGTTGAATTCTTCCTTTTTTCCTCCCTGCCCCTTTAAAATTTGCTCACAGAAAATGTTATGAAGTATCTTTAAATAAATATTTGCTAATAATAAAATCATGTTATTCTTAAGACTTTGAATCAAAGTTTAGCTTATTAATTAATTTTTCTATTTTTTTTTACATCAATTATTATTATTTATTTATTTATTTTTTTGTTGAAAATTTTTTGAATGGGTATAGTGTTTTCTACCCTTAACGTAATGGAATTTCTGTTATTTAACTGCAATCATTAATTAATGATCCTCGTACATGTTATAATTTTCTCTCTTAATTTCTCAATAACTGATTCGACTAATTCGTTAATAGTAGATAAACTAACTTTTCTTTGAAATTTTTGCATAATAAGTTTGTTTGAATATTTCTTCTATTTCTGTAACTGGTAGTTTTATTTATATGTATATAAATAATATTATAATTTATAAATTTAAATAATATTATTATTTATAGTGCTAATTAATAATAATATTATTATTAATTAGCACTTCGATGGGAAAAAAAATGTTTTGTAAACAGTTCCCCGATGCTTACATGCATTCTAAGGTTAATTTTCTTAAACTTATTAAAATATCATTTTATAACTTTTTCTGGTAAATTCTTAAATTGTTGCAGCATTAGAATTTAAAGGTAAAAATATGGTGATTCTAAGTTTTTATTAGTACCAAATTACCAACATAAGCAAATTATTTGTCACATTGTTTTTTCATATTTAATTGTTCATATGCAACCAGCTGGTTATAGTAAGTACACATAGTAATGCATGTTTAGAGGAAATTATTTCAATTACATTAAATGCTATTACAAAAATAAAATTATGGGATTGGTTAGAAACTGAGTTCATAAAATTAAACAAAGTTATGTAAATAGATTAGAATTAGATTAACAAACTTTTCTGTAAAATTTTTGCTTAATAAGTTTGTTTGAATATCCTTTCTATTTCAGGAACATAAATGTGTTTTAGATTCTTGCAGAGTATTAGAGACTGAAGGATTTGATGTTACTTATTTACCTGTTCGGGAAAATGGCATTATAGACCTAAAAGTAAAGTATTTTCTGGTCATTCTGACAACCTTATGTAGATAATTTATTACTGTGTAATGTCATAAACAATGCTTCTCATTAGGAATTAAAAAGTTTATTTATTGAGTTCATCAACATTTTTATGTATCACTCATTGTTATATGATCTTATCTTAATAATTATTTTATTATAAGTTCGGATTTTGATGACATTCACTGTTCATGACTCTTTTGAGGATTTTTTTTTATTATTTTCTTCAATATTTTATGATATTTTCTTTTTACATTTTAGATAAATTATTAATTCCTCTATGAAATTTTTCTTTTATTACATTGTAGCTTTGTTTATATATATTTTTATTTTAAATTCATCCTTTGACCTTTTTAAGGTCTCATTTTTTGTTTATTTTAAGAGCATTACAAGAGGCTTTTTTTTTTCATTCATATACCTATCGTTTATATCAAGGATATGTAGGCACCTCAATTATCATAGCACAGTACTATTGGTGGTTGATACTCTGATCATTTATTTTGAAATTTATCAATTATGAATCTCTTTTATCTGTTGATGCTGAGTATATTTTTATAATTGGTTATAAAACTAAACTATAAGCTCCCCAAAAAACTGTTCTTACATAAATTGCATGTAAATATGTGCTGTATCTCAGGAATGAGCAAAAAAGCAGAAAAAATTTTTTTTTGGGGGGGGGGACTCAAGAATTCGAGTTTTATGGATAGCAGGAAGTCGTGGCTGAAGTAGTTTCATTTCCTTATTCAGCCCATGTGGTAATTCTGACAATTCAAGCAGCAGAAGGTTACCTGACCGTTTGAATTCTCCAGTCAATCTCCTCTCGAATAAACCAGCAGAAAAGAGCAACTGCATGGTTAAAGCAAATTTTTAAAAAAAACACGAACTTATCTGAGTTATTGGCAGTATTTACGCTGGGATAACTTAAACAATATCGATTACACAAAAATTACTTTAAAATAAATGGTAGATGATTTCAGAAATACTAATTAATAAATACTGGGTCTGACANGAGGTTTTTAAAAAAAAAAAAAAAAAAAAAGCTAAAAATAGTATATAATTTGTTTAACTATTCATTTAATCAGTTGTCTGCATTCAACAAATAAGTTAAAAATAATTTGAATGAATTTTATATTGTTTTGCTTAAATGTAGAATTCAATAAATTTTTGAAATTTTAATGTGTCTAAAATTTGGACTTTAAAATTCTTTGAATTAATTTTGAAAAAAAATTTCTTCTTTTTTTTATTTACTTTATGACATTCAATATCAGTTTAGAAAGGCTAATATAATATTTCACTATCAGTGCTTTCACTGTGGCCCTATTAGAAAATCATTACTCTCTTGAAAGTTGGTATTTTTGAATTTTTTAAATATGTTTTGTCCCTATAAAACCAATATGTTATACCAATAATAAATTATATTGATGATGTTTTGAAAAGTTTGCTTATTCTATAGCTTAATAAACATTCGCATAAAATGATTGCCCATTTGTTTTCTAATTAAGACTTAATATTAATCTTTCATTGAATAATTTGCAGAATTTTTTAATGTTGCAGGGAAAATATATTTTAAATGAAGTAATATTGATACTTTTTTGTAAAAGTTTTGATGGAACTAAATTTTATCACAAAATACAGGGTTTTTCAAAAACAAAAGGACCGAATTTAATTTGTTTTTAATGAAATATAAATTTGACATAAGCATTCTACATATTAAAAAAAAAGGAAGTTTCAAAGTTTTTTTTCTTTCTTTAACACAGGTATAAATGTGTGCCCTTTTTTCTTCACAAACATCTCAATGATAGCCATTATACATAACAATTGCATTCAAGTGGAAGTTTAAGCAACCACTGTGATTCTCTATAAATTGTATCTCAACAGGCTATAAATTGAAGGAATCAAGAAGTTTCCAAGTTTTATTTTCAACCATTTGGGCAACCATAGATGTGTAAAATGCTTCCAATGCAGTGGCTGTGCAAACGTAATAACTATCACTTTGATTCATATTTTTTATGCAGCGAAGGGCGACTCAATGAACATTTGCAATCTATGTGAAAAACTTCGAAACTTCCTTTTTTTTTAAAAAAAAAACTGTATTTAGGCTATTTTTGCCTAATTTATACTTCATTAAATACTATTTATTATGGCTTATCTTGTGATATCATGAGAGAAGTCTGAGTTGCTTGACCCCTCAGATGCAGCATATAAGCTCGAAGCATAATGGCGGAATTAACAGCCACAAGCATTTTCTTTTTAAAAAAATTGTTCAACATTAATTAAGAACCAAAAAAAATCCAATTAAAATGCTAGTGCAAAACTTAAATCATAAATCAGAAGTCTTGATGAAAAAGGTTCAGTAAAACCAAATGCTCAATTCTCCTTCAGAGTCCTCTCCTCTACCCTCGAAGAGACAGATCTGGAGACCCGCCGATCTGGACCAGATCAGTTTTTTTCAATGTGTTACAATATTTTTAAGTCCCTCTGTATTATAAATTAAATGAGACTTAGGCATAAATGGGTGAATGTATGTGTTTGAAAAAATATATTTCTATTTGAAAATTGTAAAAATTTATATTGATTATCAAAATGAATTTAAAAGTATTTGATTTGTATATTGAAACTGTATAAACTGTACAATCTAATGTTTTATATAATGAATTAAGCCAAACATATTTGTTTTCAATATTTATAAGTTTATGTAATAAACTTGATTTTTAATTAATAATAACTGTTTACTCCTAAACTTTGAAGTTTTTTTTGTTTGTTTGTAGGAATTAGAGGATGCTATTCGTCCTGACACTTCATTAGTTTCTATTATGATGGTTAATAATGAAATTGGAGTTCTACAGCCTGTTAAAGAAATTGGTGTGTCAAACAATCCTTTTAATTTCTAATTAATTTTATTTTTTCTTTTGTATGTAGAATCTCAATTTACCAACACCTGAACTGAAGTCAAAAAATTGATTTGGCCATGCATACCATCTGATACATTTTTGTCTGTGCACATTCAATTATGAGTAAAATTATTTTTAGTATAAATCTACTAAAAAAATAAAATTGTTCAATAATCTGTTGTTAAATCATGTTTTATGTTTGACAGAAATAGTTCTTTATAACTATAAGGTAATGCAGAAAAACTGTGTTTAAAACTCTCGCAAAATGAGTCTCTATCAATTATCAGAATAACATTAGGTCTCGAAATCAGTCACATCATACTTTTTGTATTCAAACAATTTTTTAATCATGTAATGTAATTCAAGAAATATTCACTCGCCATTTTTTGTTAATTATGGCAATTATAAAATTGATTAAACTATTTCTTGCAAAAATTGATTCTACAATTCGCAAACAACCATCTTACGCATATTTTGTGGAAAGTTAGAAAATGCACAAGGTATATGAGTTGTCATATAATTCAATAATCAGTGTTAGACAATATCAGCTAAAATATATATATATATTTATATCTTTTTTAGTAAAATATCTGTAAAAATAATTCTTTGATATATGTTTTTCAAGCTTGAACTTACTTTAAATGAGTTTCCTCGTTTAAAGTAAAATATTTATATGATTGTAAATATAACATTCTATTGTTTTTTAAGGTGCATTATGCAGGTCAAAGAAAATATTCTTTCACACTGATGCAGCTCAGGCAGTTGGAAAAATACCTGTCAATGTTAATGAAATGAATATTGATTTAATGTCTATCAGTGGACATAAAATCTACGGACCAAAAGGTGAATCATGGTATTCATATGTTTGTTTTGATACAATAAATTGTATTTAAAAATATTTTCATTTTAATGATGGTTTCTATGGCATAAAAAATAGTTTTAGACTTGTACTTCAAGTTTCCTAAATAAAAATTAATCAACTAATGCATATTAGGTATCGGAGCATTGTATGTAAGGCGCAGACCACGTGTTCGAGTCCAGCCTCTTCAAAGTGGAGGTGGTCAAGAAAGAGGCATGCGAAGTGGAACAGTACCTACCCCATTAGCTGTTGGACTTGGTGCTGCTTGTGAAATAGCAGGAAGGGAAATGGAGGTTTAAAAAGTTCATTGTTATGCATTTAGATTCATTTTAAATTGCTCAGAAGCTACTTGAACATTTTCCTGTTCACGTAGTCTTATTTAATAAATTACTTTTAATAAAAGTTTTAGGTTTTCGAAGTATTGAGACTAAATTGAAAGCATTAGATTATAATTAGCAGATGAAGAATTATTGATTTATTTATTATTTTAAACTGAGAAACATCATTCTTGGATAACTAAAAATTTTGTAACTTATTCCGTTATCAAATTTGATTTTAATGACAAATTTCAGCTATGATGAGCATTATAGTTATAATAAATTTTTCTGACAAAACTTATTGGTTAAAAAAAAAGCCATAAATAAAAAATAGCTTATTTTGTTGCAAACTGTATATTAAGTAATCTGGATTATTTAATTTATTAAGGTTTGATTCTCCACCTTAAACCTCGCTGCACTTTCGCCAAATAAGTCTTAGTGATTGAAATACACTCCCGCCAATATCAAAGCTTGAAAAGTCCACCTATGGTTAGAGAGTATGCTATAGAAGTCTTGTAATTAAGACTTCTATAGCATCCTCTTTCTTAATCCTCTTTTCTTAAATATGCTTATACAAAATAACTGCAACTAACGTCATTGTGAGGAATACAAGTACTTGAAACAAAGAAAAATTCATTCATTTTTGAACTGTTTGAAATTGATAAATTTAAATGTCTTATAAATTGCCATAGTAACATACTGTAGAGCTCAAAAGTTAGATTTTAAATTTGTTGCATTTACATGTGGGATCTTTATTGCTTGCATTTGTAATTGCGAAAACTCTTATTAAACAACTTACAACTCATTTCAAAGTTCAACCTTCTCCCCTTTCTAAACTACACCTCAATATTAATCTATGTAGAAATGATGCTAGATATTAATCTTTTAAAAAGACTTTGAAAATTTTGTAGAAAATATATATATATATGCAGTAGAATCCTGATTATCTGAAATGTTTGGAATCAGGGGTATGCTAGGAAACCAAAATTGTGGAATAATGGGAGTAGCTTTTTAATTAGTTTTATTTGGTGTATACATTATTATATGAGTAAAATTATTACAAGTTAATAGTGACTGTAATAAAGTTTTTTTACAATTAAAAGAAAAGTTTACTCCTGTTTCATTTTTCTGTTTTATATAAGGAAGTAATAGTAAGGAAAAAAACATTCATAAATATTTGTTTTCTATTTCTTTTTCTTTTTTATTTATTTTTTTTATTGCATTTTGATTCTAAATAGTTTTTTGCAATAATAATTCTTCAGCATCAGGTTTTTAGAAATGTTTACTCTTGTTTCATTTTTCTCTTTTATATAAGAAAATAATAGCAAAGGAAAAAAAAACATTCGTAAATATTGTTTTATAGTTCTGTTTTTTTATTGCATTTAGATTCTAGATAGTTTTCTACAATAATAATTATGTAGCATCAGGTTTTTTTTTCTATTTTTTAAATTGTTTAGTGCATGTCTTCCACATCTGTGTGAGCTATACTACTGCTACTATCATTTTATGTTCATCGCTAGCTGAATATTCAGACTATGATGTTGTTTTAATCAATCTAAACAAACTCATCAGAAGCAGTATTTTTTGTACTTTATCAATACAACTGAAGAAAAGCTAAAATCAAGAGCATACTAAATATCACCATGTGAAAAGTACTACAGGAAATTACAACAGTTGAAACTGCTCCCGCACCTGCTGCATGAAAATGTCTCCGTGACGAAGCAACAATGTATGTCAGTGCATTCACTTCAATTTCTTTTTAACATTTTTCCTTTTTGATAGTTAGGTTGCTATCTTGTATTACTTTTCATTAGGCGATATTTAGTATGTTCTTTTGTGTGAATGGTTTTACCCTTTCTCCAGCGGTGTTGATTCTTTTCGTTCTCTTATGAGATAACTTATTTTATTTCATCTTAAAATATTTTTATGTGTTAATGGTTATATAACACATAAAATGTGTTAATGTTTTTAGGTTTTTTCCCTCTGAATTGATTCTTTTAATTCTCTGAGGAGAGTTAAAAGGATATTATTTTATTTCATTTTAAAATATTTTTCTTAAAATATAAATATATATATATATGTTTCATGATTTATATACGAAATTATATTAATTTATAATTATAGGTATTGTGGACACTAAATGTATTCTTATAACTACAAATTAGTTTCATTTCAGTATGATCGAAAAAGAACTGACAAGCTTTCAAAGAGGTTAATTGATGGTATTATGAATGCTGTGCCTAATGTTGTTCGGAATGGAGATTCTGTACAAAACTACCCAGGTATACTGAATTATTTCTTTATTATTATCAGTTATTTGTATTTTTATCATTTTTAGTATGTTGAAATTAGAACAAGAAAATGTTCAGTCCAGGGCCTAAATATCTTTCTCTTATTTAGTTCCAACTAGCTCACTGTTGTTCAAAACTTTGCTATTTCCCAAACAAAATTAACAGCTTGCTTCTGAACTTCTGAGAAATTTAAAGTCTTCTATATTTATTTATTTTTCAATAAAATTACGATAACTCCAAAGAAGATGTATTGTTATTTTGCTTAAAAATGTTTTAAACTAAAGACATTTAATATATTAAAAGCTGAATTTATTTTAACTAGTTATTTGTAGCTTATATAAGTTTATAAATTTTATAATTTTAGATTTTATGTGTGGTCTGACATTCACATTAAAACAATATTATTGATGAGAAAATATTTCATGTAAAAATAAACAATAAAGATTAATACATTAATTTAATTCCTGTTTAAATTCAAATTGCAGGTAGCTTAAATAATTTTAAGAAATTCTCAAATTTTTTTGTTTTTTCTCTGCCTATTGAAGAAGATATTTTCTCATAGTAATTCTGTACATCCTTTTTATGTGTTTGTTTTTTCATTGTCATAATGTTGAGATTTTATTCTAAAATTTTTTACCTGCTTTAAACAAGATAATATTGTATGCCACCTTGTTAGCTTTAAATATTATCTTTGCTCTCTTTAATTTTTTTTCCTTTATTTATTTATGTAAATTATATGGCTTTATTTATTGAAAAATATAAACTTATTTCTACACTCACTGAAATGGAACTCGAGATCCATAAGTGTTTCATTCACTTAATTTCTCCGTGTTTGTTTCTTGCCTATGTTTATTATATTAATGAATTGCTTTTTTTAATTGATAAAAGGTAAAGAAGTTTGTGTTTTTTAAACTACATTTTACTTCATTTGAAAAAATTTCTGATAGTTTTTTTTATCTCATTATTTGTAATTGTAAAGATTTCCTTGATTTCAATTTTTAAATGTTGACAGCTATGCGCTATAGTTTTCCCACTACCTTTGAATTTTCTGAATGGTTCAAGATGATCTGAAATCTCCAAAATCTAATTCAATTCATCTGATTATTATTATTATTTTTTATTTATTTATCTTAGATATTTTATTCTTTCGAGAAAGACTTGTTCTTATTTTTATGGCTACAAGGTTTATATTTAAAGTGTTTGTAATTTAAATGACAAGTATTAACAAAATGTTTAAACAATTTTACGTTTTACAATAATAGCTTTGTAATAATAGTTATTTTTATAACTATATCAGCAATAATTAGTTTTATTTCTTTAATTGTAAAAGCGTGTGTTTATTTATTATAGAATGAATTTTATAATGCAGTATGTTGCATTCGATGCTACCTAAATGTTTCATTTCTTATTAAAAACTTTTTTGAATGTGAATTTAAAAACTTAACTATTTTTTAAAATTTTCTAGGCTGTGTAAATCTTTCATTTGCATACATTGAAGGGGAAAGTCTATTGATGGCATTAAAAGATGTTGCTTTATCTTCTGGCAGGTAAAAAGGCATCTTATTCAGAATTCTCATGAAATATTATATATATCTAATATAATTAGAATGAATAATCATCCATATTCTTGATTTGAAAAAGAACTTTGTAAATAAATTTTACCATGATTTTTAAACTATGTGGAATTGTGGTAGTGTAATGTACTCATGCACCAATCTTGTCTTGAGATTATTATTAAAAATGAATCCCAGATTATCCTCAATTGCCAATTACTTTCACTCTATTCCAACTTCAACCACAAAATCAACTTAAACCAAAATAGTTGAAACACCATAGTAAAAAGTTGGAGAACTTCTTCTCGCCAATTTGGAGTAAAATACAATGAGAGCTTACTCTTACGTGTGATTAAAAACAACTGTTTTAAATGTGATATTTATTGGCATTTTATTTGAAGTCTTTTATTATTTTTTTTTTTAATTTAACATTCTTAAAAGCCCTTTTCTTATACAGTATTTACAATTGTTTTACTCTTACTTTATTGAAAATATTGTTTGGTGTAAAATTTTAAATTCTCTGCTGAAAATGGTTAAATAGACCACAGTGCTATTATGTTTGACATTTTTCTTACATTGTTTTATTCATTAAAATATGCTACTAATTTTAAAGAAGTTTTAAAAGTCAAATCATTATTTCAGTTTAGCGCTTGTTTATGTTATGATTTAACTCTTGAAAATGCCAAAAACATGTTGTATTCTTCATAATATCACTAATTGACTAAGGTTCACAATTCAATGGTTCAAGGTTAATTAATATAGCATATTACCAACACTTAAGATATTAATTTAAAGATTTACACATTTGTTTCTTTCTAAACTGACCTCATAATTATGAATCAGATGAACTGAAGAAAGCGTGTGATGTTTTTTTTTTTTTTTTTTTTTTTTTTTTTTTTTTTCATAAAGTGAAATTTTCTTTTATGTTGAAAATTATTTTAAAATTTATGTGTTTATTACTGATGCTTTCTTGCAGTTGCAATATATTTGTTTATATCTTTTTAGTGCTTGTACTTCATCTTCTTTAGAACCATCTTATGTGTTAAGAGCTATTGGTAGTGATGAAGATTTAGCTCACTCGTCAATTAGGTTAGTACGAATGTTTACTTTTCTTGAATTTCTTTTTCTAGTGACACTGACAATCTTACTATTCTGTATGTATACAGATAATGTTAAATATTACAGTAAAGGCAGGATTTTTATCTTTGATCCAATTTTTTTTAAATATATTATCAACAATTTATTTCATTTTTGTTAATTCTATTTTGTCTATTTTTTAAACAATCTAAGTATTGTAATATAGTACTATTAAATGTATTGAAGTATTATTAATTATTAGTATTATTATTATTTTTTATTAAATCTGTAAAATATTCAATAAAAAGTTGATGTTAACTTCTAAAAAATCAATAGATATGTCATATTATTTTACATATTTTTCAAGTTGTATAAATTTTAGAATTAAGTCACAACATATTTTTTGTGAATTAATATTCATTTGCTTTACATATGAATATTAATTCACAAAAAATATGTTTCTCTTTTACTTGTAATGCCCACTGTGTGCTAAGTCTTTATATTTCTTTATTTCCAAAAAAAAAAAAGAAAATCTTTTTTATCTCCTGCAAAATTTGTTATTTATTAATGTTTATTAAGAAAAAATGTGAGCAATCTATCTTGTTTTTGCACATAGTGTTACAATTACAAGATTATGTATTTGAAAAAAATTGATGCATTTCTTATAGTGGTTCCTTTTACCTTGTATGCTTGTAAATTAGCTTGTGAGAGTTAATTTATGCTTTGTAATATGTTTAATCTGTTTTTATATGCTTAATGTTTTGTAATAGTTAAAGGAATTTAAAACTGCATGGCATAAGTATAACATACTTGTAACGAAAAATAATTATTTAAAAAATATATCAGCTCTCAACATTCTCTGTTGTAGGAAATACCAAACTAGGGATTGCAATATGCATTCTTTAACATCAGAAATTGATTACAAGACACTTTTAGCAATCAAATTTTTTTATTATAGATTAGCACACAGTTAATTACTAAATATTTCTTTTTTTAATAAATTAGTGTGTGGTTGCTCCCTGGCAGATAATGAAAATTAAACATAACTATTGTGAAAAAAGTAGTATTAATTTTTTATTCTTACCTTTTACTCTTTGCAAATGCTACCTTTAAAGCAAAAATTATTTTGAACATGTTTTCTGCATTCGAAGAAATAAAGTTTGTTTGTAGGCAAAAGTTCTACTAAGTTTATTAAATGTATTAATTTGCTGTTTTCTAACACTTTCTTTGTAGATTTGGAATTGGTAGATTTACTACAGAAGAAGAAGTGGATTACACTGTAGAAAAATGTATTTACCATGCAACAAGACTGAGAGAAATGAGTCCTTTATGGGAGATGGTCCAAAATGGCATTGATATAAAATCAATTCAATGGTCTCAGCATTAAAGTGAGTTTGAAATAGTATCAATTATAATTTTGTCTTATCTATTTATTTATTTTTATCCAAAGGGTTGTTTCTAGTGTCTCATAAAAAAAAAATAGCAGAGCAGACTTATATTATTCTTCTATCCCTATTTATCTGCAATTAAAAAAAACAAGAAAAAAACAAAAATCTCATTCTTCTATGGATATCAATTGTCAAATCTTTGAAATAACAATATTTAGATAAAGGCAAGATGGTTAGAAATCTTTTTAACAAGCTTTTGATGAGCTAATATAATATAAATGTATTTTTTCACAAGAAAGTAGTCTGTTGTTGAATAATATCCACACAAAAAAGCGCTTAAGATAGAAGTTTTATAAGTCCTTGTTCAGTTCAAAGATTATTTCTTACACCATTCAATGGACAACACTTCTGATATCGAGGTTTTCTCGAGGATCATAAATAGAAGTGTCCCTTATTTGGAGGCTAAATAGAAAAAAAAATTTTATTAGAAACTCAGGTTGCAACATGATATAAATAAATGACCTGCAATTAAGTGAGGTAAAAATTTCTAATTAAAACAGTTTAATATTTTAAAATATGTCTGAATAATACATTAATAAACATTAAAACAACACAAACAACACAACATTAAAACAACTGAAATAAACATTAGAGTACTATGCTTAAAACACTGTACTTGCCTTTTAATATACAGAATATGTATGTAACATAAAAAGCTTTAAAAAAAATTCTTGCTATTTTTTTGTATAAATTATCTTTCTTAATTTATTATTCGAAACGAATCGGATTGTCACAATTATAATTTACATCCAGCATTTTAGTTTTAAATTGAGATCAAAGCATGCGAGAATTAACATTTTAAGTTTTTCCTTTATCCAAACATGAGAACCAGAGAAATTCTTCAACCCATTTTTTTTAACCAATTATAAGAAATTTTTGCATGTGACTTAGAAAATCACCAGGAAAAATTTGTAAGATTTTCCCTAACATTTATAATGATACCCTATTAATGTTATGTGATTTAGCTTCTTTCTCTCCATACTATTATTACAAAATAAAAACTTTTGTTTTTTCCCCTGCATGCCTGTTTTTTTTCCCCTTGCTGTGCCAGATTGCCAACATATGTATACATGATGCTTATTAATTTTATCCTATATGGTTCTCTTATTTATATCTTTTATTTTCAGGCTGAATCACTTTTTCATTAATAAAGGAACATGGTGGAGTTTGACTGTGATAAAGTTTCGTTTACCAATGAGTCAGCCTTTGCTTGTCAAATGCCTCTTTTTGTATATAGTAAATCAGATTTTTTAATTTGATTATTTGAAAAGTTTTTAGAATTGTTTATTACAATTAATGTAATATATTTTTTTATCAGGTTCATTACCTGCTTGAAATATCCAGGAAAGATAAGAAATTTTAATATCACTAAACTGTTTCTTTTCAAAGTAACTCTTATTGCTTTTTTTAGTTGACTGAAACATTTGTATTTTGTTAATGTTACATTTCTTTTTTGTTAAAAAAAATAAATATTAAACAAGTTGTCTTTTTCTCTTCAATTTTATTGATATATTAGTACATTATACTATTTTTAAAACTTAATATAATATCTTGTTGAAACATCAGTTTATTATATCAATCCTAACATTTATGTCTGCAATGCATAAGAGATAAATAACCCATTGCTAATGAAAGTTGATGGATGCAAACCTTTTAACTATTTTGCTGTATCCCAGCTTTCAAAACTTAGTTTTTTTATAGATTAGTTTTGAATTTATTTCTTTTTTAATTTGACCTCAAAATTTGCTTTTAATTTTCTATTTTTTAAAAAAAGAAGAAAAAAAAAAGCTTATTCACAAAAAAAAAAATTTTAAAAATTCAAATTAAAAATAAATTTTAAGTTTTGTCACCATAAAAGCTCCTAAGACAGTAAATATCAGTTTAATTTAAACGATATTTTGAATTATCCATGTTTGAAATAAAAAGTGCCCATTGTATAAGCTAATGTAAAAATTTCTTCAAATACTTTAATCTCAAAGGTCATGGGTCTTATATTTTAACTTTTCAAAAATTTTAGAAGGAAAATTAAACTAAGTTAATTGATTAAGTCTGCAAAAAAAAAATATCACCCAAATCTATCTGTGCATCTTTAGAAAATAACTGAATGGTTGGTTAGAAAATATCTTATTCTGATCACTCATTCCATTCTGCAGGCTTTGTAATGGGTCAAAGAAAAAATCGGAACAGAATTTTTCAACATCTTTCTGAAAAAAGAACACTATTCTTATTTTACACTACTTTTGTAAATGGAAAACTAAAAAGAGTATAATTTGCACTACTTAAATGTAATAAAAGTAAATTTTATTACAAAAGAATAATAAAATATGCTTTTCAGAATTATTTAGCTTAAAAGAGAAAGTATTAACAGCCTCCAGTACAATTTTATCAATACTGAACAGCTCATAATAATAGCTTCAAATCAGTGCATGGAAAAATTTTATAGTACTGTTGCAATAAAAAGTAACTAGTATCAATTAGTTAATGTACCCTCATTTACATACATATTCCTCCTCGCTCCAAATTGGAGCCTAAGGCTTCTATCAAAACTCTTCATCTCATTCTATTTGTGGCCAGATGTTTTGCCTCTTACCATGCCTTTTCTATTGTTTTCAATTCACTTACACATTCGTCTTGTGTCAAGTATTTTTAGGTCTTTTTTCTATTATCCTGAGGGTTCCAATCAAAAACTTGTGCATAATATAATGTACCAAGATATAATTAAAATTAGTAATGGAGTGTAAGGTTTTCTTAGTGCAATCATTTCAAAAATCTCGTAATAAAATATTGTGAATATAAACTTATGTTTGTGAAAATTGCAACACCATGAAGGACTTGTGCGAGTGAGTTGAAATTTTCAGGAAATGCAAAATAGAGCATGATAAGCAAATGATTAGAATTTCAGACCCGTAGCGCATGCTAAGCAGCGCCCTCTGAACGGCGGCTGATAGATCCGAATAAATAGACGACTGTAGCGAGGCGTGTATGGTTGTCGGTGGTAATCTGCTTGTGGTAAACGTTAGCTTAGTCGTTTCCTATGCCTCTTCGACGAAAGAGAGCGAGTTTTCAACAACTTACGGAGTTTGAACGGGGGAGAACCATCGGCCTTCGGGAAGCTGGATTATCTTATTGTGCAGATGCCGCTCGTGTGCAGTGTAACAGTAGCACAGTGATGCGTGTTTGGAAGGAGTGTCAGACAACTCGGAAATCCGGAAGTGGACCCCGAAATGTCACGTCAGCTCGCGACGATAGACACCTGGTCCGCATGGCGCTGGCTGACCTTACGGCCCCCACTAGACAACTGGCAGCACAGTGGTCAATAGCTACAGGTGTTTCATTGGGTGCTTCATCAATTCATAGACGTCTGCTGCAGCGTGGACTGCGCGCAAGGGACTCCTTTATACAGGATCCCCCTCACGCTAAACCGTCGCCGCCTGCGGCTGCAATGGGCCAACCAGCATAGGGACCGGCGTGCTGATTGGCAGCGTGTCGTTTTTTCTGACGAATCCCGCTTTAATTTGTAGTACCATGATGGCTGCATTCGTGTCAGACGCTATGCCGGTGAACGCTACCTTCCGGAGTGCGTTATCGAACGCCACAGTGGACGAACACCCGGAGTTATGGTCTGGGGTGCCATAGCATATCATGGACGATCTCAATTGCTACGAATTGTGGGTAATCTGAACAGCAACCGGTACATCAGTGAAGTTCTACAGTCCCAAGCTGTCCCCTTCCTTCAAGCCTCGCCAGGCGCTGTATTTCAACAGGACAATACCCGCCCTCATATTGCTAGGACTGTTCAATCCTTCCTTGCATCACTGCAGGTACAGCTTCTTCCTTGGCCTGCGTATTCCCCGGATATGTCGCCGATTGAACATGTGTGGGATTTCGTTGGTCGGCGTCTCACTCGCGATCCTCGTCCTGTTGCTTCTACAGACGAACTTTGGGTACGCATACAAACAATATGGAATGCTCTTCCTCGGGCAGACATTCAAAATTTGTTTGACTCCATGCCACGTCGTGTGGCTGCACTTATTGCGGCGCGTGGTGGTTACACAAAATACTGATTTTGATCTCTTGTTATTGTTTGTTTGCTTTGAAAGTTTAATCATTTGTATTACTACTAGTCAGCTGTGTATTAAATTTCATTTAATTATGACGATTCCTTCATGGTTTTGCAATTTTCACAAACATGAGTTTACTACTTAATATCTTTGTACAGAAATAATTTAGTGGATGATCCCTCAATACATCATTTAAAAGTTCTATGATATGACTATTGCCTTGTGGCTTGGAATCAACCATTTTTAAAATCACATAAAAGAAGAAAATCGGAAATTGTGAAACTACAAAACTCTATCCAATTAAATTTTTACTTCTTTTACTGAAAATAATAAATAAGTGTATGATCCCTAAATTCATCGCCATAAAAGTTTTAGTATAGCATACAATAATTAATTTTTTTTCGAATGAATTCCCAAACAAGCTTAAGCAATGAAACTTTAAAAACTATATGCTTGAATAATGTATATAATACATATGTACGAACAATATCCTAGATTGGAACTATCAAATTTTGAAATTTCTACTAGCATTACAAACTAAAATAAAGGATGTTGCATCAAAAATCCAAAACATTTGATTCTTTCTTTCTTTTCTTTTTTTTTTTTTAATTTTGNCCCCTGGCTAATTTTTTTTTTTTTTTTTTTTTTTTTTAGAAATTCGTAGATGTATTCTTTGAAATAAGATGTTTTGAACAGAACGGAAATTCATGAATATGTAGAGAAAAAGCTAAAATTCAGGACAAAATACTTTTTATCAGAGCAACTATGAACCTTGTTTTTATGATATTGGAAGTAATTTTCAAAACAACTGAAATATATAATTAAATATTTGACAGGGGATAGTTATTGGTCAAATCGGAAGTCATCCTGGAGAAATCTTCAGAGGAAGGCATTGGCTCACATTGGGCTGTCTAGCCAACTATGATGATGATGAGTTATTATTGGTAGTAATTTTAGAAACAATTGATATCTGAAGAATTGAAATCATCAGAATTACTTACTTACTTATCCTACTTCGTGCCCGGTGGCACATAAGGCCCTTATCCTCTTGTGCCAGTCCACTGGGTCTTTTACACAAAATCTCCCTTTGGACATCATCGTCCATCCCGCTGGTCACCTTTCCTCTCCATGTTAGGATAGGTCTGTCTAAGCTTTAGGTTTCTATAATCAGGAATTTTTTACGAGGAAAGGGTGATTAGCCCAAGGCCTCATTTGCACGGGCTTCTGCAGAAAAAGTATGAAAAATGAAGACTTCGAAGATATATATAGTTATAGTTACTCTTTATATGGTATAATGATAGTGTAATTAACATTTTCTAAAAATACTTAAAAAAATTTACTTTTATATACTAAGGCATTCATTCCCCAATTTAAGTTGAGTGTATTCTTTCTAAACCATCAGAAAATTATAAATGAATATCTCACCTAGGCGGAAATAAGAGACAGTTTTTTTTTTAAATGTTGCTTCATAAAAACTATAATTTCTAATATCTCTTACACTATTCCAAGAGAAATGTTTGAAAAACATTTTCCTCACACAGAACAGAAAAAAAGTCACAGATCATACACCCTAGCTCTGAAAATCATTTTTAATGTTATGAAATTACTAGAATTTTTTTCTTAGCTCTGTTGATTTTCATATTTATATAATTTTTCCTTCAGAAGTGTGGATCAATCGAAGTTAGGAGTTCTTGCATAGGAAAAAATGTGTAAGAAAAATGAATAAGATTAAAATAATAATAAATGTAAAGTACACATTTGATTTAACTTGAATAAAATTCTTGGAAAGCAGGAATTCTACTACTGAACTTTAAAAATAGCATCCTTTTCCTCAAAAAATATGTAAACTTATTGATACAGATTTTGTTTTACATAAATAATTTTAAATTCTATTAAATTTTACTCAAAAATCATTACTAATTAGAAAAAAGGATTACTTTTATTTAAATCTGGAGATTTAAAAAAAAAAAATTCAATAGGTTTAAATCGTGATTTTAACAGAAATTTAAATCAGCAAACTCTGCTTTCATTTTTCAAACAAACCAATGTTCTGTGTAATTTGAGCACTTTTAGTTTTTCACATAGTTTGTTAAACTGCAGTAGAGAGTAGCAGACTAAAGAGTGCAAAATCAAAAAATAGATTGATCAGTACAACTACTATGTTAGAGGAAAGAATAATAGAAACACAAAGTTTTTTTTAAAAAAAGTTGAGAAAACCAAACAAATACATTACAATAAATAATTTTATTGATTTAACCAAATACAGAATAGTACTTTGAGTTACATATATTTAATGACCAAAACTAGATGTAACTTTATCCATCACTAATTTTGCAACAACTCGTGTCATAAAATTCAGTTTATAAAACAGTTATAATTAGCTAATTTACTAACTAATTTTGAGTAATTTATTTAATTCTAATAATCAAAAACTGTGAATTTACTCTAAAACTTTACCTTGACTCCTTTATCAATGACATAAAGAGTACTTTTAAAAGTAAATTTTTGTTGTCAGACACCTTTAACTTTAGATATTAATTTCAATAGGGATGATAACATATTCTTTTAAAACAAATTAGTCAACAAAACTTAAATACACAATTTTGTAGTTTTTATTTATTACCTGTTATGAGTAGTGTATATTTTAATGGAAGTTAAATCTAGGTCAGAATTATTTAATTAATGGAATTTATCTAGGGATTAAAATCGTAAACACCTAAACTTGAAGCTTGTTTTTCTCTTTGTATGTATTTATCTAAAACATACCAGTTATTTAATGAATTATCAAAATGCACTAAGTTCATAATGGAGCCTTGCACAATATTTTGCTGAAATAAAATTCATAATGGTTACACAGGTTATTTGTGATTTACGAAGTATCTGTCAACTGTATTGAGTAACTCAGGTGTGAATGTGGGTTAAGAACTTAAAATCAGAAAATACTTATCAACTCAAACCCTGAAAAAATAAATAAAAGAGCAAGTAGAACTATTTTGCACCAATAGAAAACATTTAAATTATTAATATTATTATTTTTTTACTATATGTGTATATTGTCAGTTCTAGAAATTTAATTTTATTCATAAATGATAATTAAAGAGAATAAAATATAGTAAAGCAAAACAACAAAATAATGTAGAAATACTAAAAGTTTTCTAAGGTTTAGAAAATCTGATAAAAGTCAGAATCAGAAGAATCTCTTGTAGCTGTACCTCACTGTGGGGAGCTAAGTTTGTTTTGAACATTTTAATCTATAGGAAATATATTTTTGTTATCGTTGTCCTAGCTGCAAGGGCTTAGAAATTTAAAAAATTTTTAACTCGAGGACAATTTTTAAGAGCCTAAATCACTTAATTTTAACCAATATAAATATTCAAAATTATGTTATCACATACAAGAGATCTAATTAAATTTTGTACAAAAAAGAAGATTCTTTTAATATATGATTTTTAACTTCCAATGAAACATTTTAGTAATGTTTATTTACAAAGCGGGCTCAACATTTTAAAAACTTTTATTATTGAGATTAGGATTAAAGTTTTCACTCAATGTCCCTATCTCTTTTTAAGATCATTCAACCTTTAACTCGATAGCATTCTAAATATTTAAGAAATCAGAAAACAATAGTTTATTAAGAAATAACCCTGCAAAAAATTAACACAACTCTCATAAATTTGAACAATGTAAACTTTAAGATTGAAAATAAAACAGATATAGCAACATATAAGCCTTGTTTTTTCACACGTTAATGTTACCTGTGTTTAGTTTATATTATTTTAACCACATTTATTCGTCTTCTTGTCTAACAAAACTTGTGAATTTTTTTTTATTTGGCTGCAATGTATTTCACTGGAATCCATAAGATGCCAAATTGAGGAGAATTTATATATATCTATGTATATATAAAGGACAATATAATATAAAGCATTTTTTTAATATAAAAATAAATAAATAGGCTTTATCTAAAAAAAAAAAAAAATTCTTGAATATTTAAAAGATTTTCAGCAAGTTTGTTATAAAAATATAATATAAAATGATCTATTAACGAAGAAAGAAAAACAAATTTTAGTTGATAATTATTTTTAAATATTAATTCAATTGGCACATCAGCGAATGGTACCACTCATCTGCTCTCTATGAAAAATACTAAGCCATACTTTTTGTGTGTTCATTGTGGTGGAATATTTTAAGCTACAACAATAAAACAATTGATTAAAATGTTCAGATTTATGTAATATAAATATCTCTTTTAAGGTAATAGAGATGTTATAAAAATAAAATTAATAATAAAAAAAAATTGGCAAAATATAATTGGAATGAAAATAATTTGAGAAATAATTGAAGTATTAAGAGTTTAAAATCAACAAGTGCCAAATTTTCATATTTCTAACAATTGGAATAAATAAAATTTGAAGTTCTCAAAACATACTTGTTTGTTAAAAATTATTACTATTTATTATTATACAATTTGAAATGTGTTATCAGATTTTCAGTAAAATACTTAACTATTCCATTGTATTACAAAAAACATTTTAAATGCAAATTTAAAAAGATGCAACAAAGAGAAATTATTAGTTAATTACAATACATATATCCTACTAATCACAGTTTTAAATGTTAAAATAAAAATAATAAATGGAAAAAATTTATAATTTTGTATAATACTAACAAGTTTACAATATTTGTACTTAAATACATATAAATCTTCTGTTATAAATCATGAAATGAAAAATTAAATTTTCATTGAAGTTTCCAAGTAACGATTAACTGAATTTTTTTTTTAAACAATTCAAATGTCAAAAAAAAAAATATTGACTGCACACAACATTTAAAATAAATACATACATTTTCATTTTTTAATTAAAATAAAAGTATTTTCATATTACTACATTTACAAACAATAACATTCTTTATATGTTAAATATATTATATTCATTGTTATAATAAACTAAATATGAAAATACTGCATGATGTTGTGAGAAAATGAAGCAACTCAGAACTTTATTTCAGTAAACACTTTGTTATAGTAATTTTACAATAAAGTAATTTCTAAAATGAGTTCTCTTAATCTCGAAATATTTAAAAAAATAAATCTCGTAAAAATCTCGAAATATTTCAAAAAATCGTTTGGAAAATTTTTGTTTAGTGATTATTTTTAATCGTACAGTAAAATAATATTCTAACATGCACAGAATTTACTCAGTGTAGGTTAGAATAACAATACACAAATTCTGCGAATAAACACAGAGAATAAATGTTAGAATAATAATATATTTTGTGGTTAGCAAATTAAGCTAATTAGCACAGGAAAGGCAGTTTGTAATAGCTTATTTGATGTCATGTTTGTTTTTTTTTTTTATATAAAATTAAGAAAGACTATGTAGCCCATATAACTTTTGATCAACAACACATTTTATTGAATTTTTCATTTAATCAAAAAAATTCTTTGACAAACTAAATTATTATCTTTAGTAAATGCAACAAAGTTTGGCATGCCATTAAAATCTTTTCATTATAAAGAAAGCAAAAGACCAAAATTATTTCATTCTTTCTTTAATTTTATGATTGCATTTAGCAAGAATTAGTAGCTGCAAGCTTGTAAAATATGTTTCTTCATGATAGATGGTTTATCTTTGGTTACAGTGTTTCCTCTTCAGGCCATTAACTTTTTTCTTTTTTTTTAAAAAAAAAGAGAAATAAAATTATACACATAAAAAGACAGTAAAATTATTCAACAATCACAAAATTCAATAAAAGTTTAGGAAATAGACAGCACAACTAAAAAGAGTTAAGATCTTAGTTATAGCAGAAATCTAAAAAATATAGGTCTCACTCGTGCAAATAATTCTTGCACTTTTTAAAGAATCACAGAAATGGGTTTCAATTATAGCTAGGGAAAACAAGTGGCAGCATCCCTAAAATCTAATTAAACAAGTAAAATGAATATTTAATAATATATTACTATGTTTTGGCTAAGACTAGTTAATAAGGGTCGAATCTACAATCTAAATAAATGAACTAGCTGTTCTTGGTATCATAAATATTATACATACATTTTAAATATGCATGGCACAAAAAAAGTTTGTCAAAAATTTCATACACAACAATGTACAGAAAACCTCACTGAATGGCAAGCGATACATATGTCTGGCTCGGAAACCAATGGTGTTTAGGGGTCTAGATATTTTGAAAATAATGTATCCAAATCTGAAATATATTACCAAAAATATATATTCAGAAATCATCAATGTATAACTTTTCTTTTACTTCCTATAACATAGCTCATATTTAACTAAAAATTCTGAATTTTTTACAAAAGTTTAACATAAGTACAAACATTATTTAAATGCAAACATTTTTGAGAAATAAAATAAAGAACTTTCATAATTTAACTTTCTTTAGAGCCAAAATATGAAGGAAAAAAGGAGATACTATGACATCTGTGTCGCACGATAAAAGTCATGAAAATAAAGCAACTTTTAATAAGCAGCCAAATATATTATTTAGAAAAACCATATTAGTTTTAAGAAATAGAAATATGTAAAAAAAAATTTTAAAATAAAAGAAAAGTATTTTGTTAAGATTTTATAAGAAAAATTTAGTTTGATCCCAAAAATATATACAATATTTAACAACATTCAAGAGCTAGTATGATTTTAAGCAACTGAAACAAATTACTTGAAAGGTTTACTAGAAGTCTTAGTTATCTTGCACACCAGGTGAAAAAAGTAGAATTTACAAAATTAAAGACTAAACTTAGAATAAAAAACTTTAAACGAAAATCATGAATTTACATATGATTACTATTAAGAAATAGGTATCTCAGTGTTTTTAATATAACTTGTATTTTTATCATAACTTGGGAAGAATTTTGAGCATTATCTCATTTCTTATATTTGGTGAAAAATAGCTCAAAATAACATAGATTTTCTTTTCTTCAAAAAATTTAAAATTATGATGGGAAAAACCCTCTAGACCCCTTAATTCACATATTTTGGATTACACATATTAGGTATTTGCTTTAAAACAGCTTGCAAAAAAGCATATCCTTATTAGGTCATATTCAATTAAATTACTGCGAACAGATGCGTTTATGTTATGTAGTGGTGTTAACAAATTTTAATACAATTTTATACAAGGTATTTTAAAGCAAATTAGAGTAACTCACCCAAAACACTTCATTGATTTCTGAGCTATACAAATATAACTGAATAGGGCACTATAAAAAAATTAGTCAGACAAGACATGGTTAATAAATTAGTGAAACAAATGTACACTCAATGATAAAACAAAGTTTCAGATCTTTTTTGTAAATAATTTTTTTTTAAATATTTACAAATAATACAACTAATTATGTAAGAATAGCTAAAATGTTTAGTAAATAAATAAAATGAAAGGCATTTCGAAGTGACAAATGGTAAAAGTTATTTGTTCAATATTTATAGATTGCATATTTCATTCTTACGAGAGTTTTAGAGGGCATTCTCGATGTAATACAAGTTCAAGTAGAGTTGGCTGCTTTTCAGTGTTAATACCAGATTTTTTTAATTCTTGAAGTTGTTTCTCTAATAACTTCTTGTCTTTACCCACTGCCCACCACAGTCGAATAGCCAAAATCAACAGAGGCACTGTAAGTTCATTCTGTTCATAACTAGGTGCAATTGATAACGCGATTTCAGCATACTTTTGTGCCTCTGCTACATTGTCAACCGCATTGAGACAAGCAATCAGTACGCATAATGTATAGTAGGTTGAAAAATGTCCTTCTTCTAGTATCTTTTCTTGCACAAAATAAACATTTTCAAGGAGAACGGAAGAATCCTCAAACTGTCCTAATTTCATCATATTGTGGGCTTCCTGTATTTCCCTATTGTATAAGAATTCAGCTAGTTCTAAAGACTGGCGCAACTCTCTGACTGAATAGGAGAAGGCTAAAAAATGTTGAAAGGCGACACTTCTTTCTGTGATTATATCTGCAGTAAAGTTTCCTAATAAAGCTTTTTTGGGAAATGGAAAATCACTCAATAATGATGGGTATCTTTTTTTAAAAGTTTGATATAAATTTAAAAAATCAGAGTATCTCCGCTCAAGGACTCCAGGTTGAGTTTCAAGTCCAGGACCTCGTTTTATCAAAACAGTGTAACTCTAGAAAGAAAAATATTTATAGGTAATTAAAAACACCCAATATTTGTTACATTCCATACAGTAAAATTTAACTGTAACAAGACAGCGATTTAGCTAATTTCAGAATATAATATATTATTTTATTATAATCGAATGCCTGCATGGATTACGATTAAAAATAAAGTAGATAAAAATAGCAATGATAAAATGTTGTTTGGAAAATATTGAATTTAAAGAATTTCATACACATCTACATTTACAGATCACAAAATAAAAAAGCAAACACATCAATAGCTTTTGATGTAATACTTGTATTTTCACATAATAAGATTTCACATACTAACTTAATAATTTAAAGGATTAACCCAAATAAGCTTAAATATTTATGCAGACAATATTTGAAGTTTTGAAATTAGACAAAAAAAATATTTACTTTTCTCAATAAATGAATAAACCAACTTTTTTTTCCAACATATTTGCATTTTTAACTCCTAAGATAGTGAGGTAACCACAATGAAAATATGTACATGACTGGAAAATATGATTCCGTACTAGCATTTAAATATATAAAAATGAGAATAAAACTCATTCCTTTTACAATAATTAAATTTTTTAATAAAAAAATTTAAATCTTCTTTAATGTATATTGTTCTAAAATCATAGCCAAAATAAAATTTCAAAAAACATATAATAAGAATGAAAATCTGAGATTGATTAAAAAATTAATGTTCATTAAGATCTTTTACATACAATTTTACTTACTCATTTTTTTATTTTTAAAAAAAGTGTTTCGTAAATTTGAATACTTGGATTGTAATAACTATTGATTGTTCAATTGTTTACTGTAATTTGTAATTTGGAATGTTTGGATTTAATAATTGGACATTAAATAAAAAATAAATGTTATGGTGGATCACAGCTATTTTCATTTGATCCCATGAAAAAAAAAAAAAAACTCATTTGGGTTTAAAAAAAAACCTAAAAAAAGACCAAGTTTGATTTTAATAATATTTATTATTAACAAAGCCGTTCTAGATATTAAGTTTAAAATAGAATGAAATACAGACTCCAAACATTGATATATTTACATTTCCATATTTTCTATATACATTTTTCTATATTTTATTATGTATTCTCACAAAGATTTGAAACATTAATTGGTATAATAATTGAAACTGTAGTTATAATAAGATACAATATATAAAATTTTTATAATTACAATTCAATGAAAAGGGAAAAAAAACTTATTTATAAAAATATATTTAAAATACTATTTTCCCAGACCTATGAGTCTTGTTACATAGAGTTTCAAATGATACTTTTATAATGTAACTAAATTGGCACCAGTAAATTAAATTTAATCGTATTTATTAATTACAAGATTTACTATAATACTATAAAGAATTTTAAAAAATGATGAAAACCTAATAAAACACAAATTTTTTTTCTGCAAAAAAACCACACTTTTTACAGTTCTTTGGTGCATAAATCAGAATATTTCATTTTCTTTTAAAATCTAGAAGCAACAGGCATGAAAAATTAACCAGTGGTCCACAGACCAGTAGCTAAAATATATTACTAATTGGTACACAATTACATTACTCTTCCCTAAGAGTTTATATCAAAATAATTGATAAAAAGTGAATTTGAATGAAATACTACAATGGTGCAATGGTCAAAATTAAAATGAAATATGTCAATTCATTACAATTGCACAAGCAAAATTAGATAATGTTATTTTGGGAGACCACTGGTAATAATTTAAAGTGATTCATTCGAACTTTACCATTTCTAGAACAACAGACCATAGATAATTTACAGCCTAAAATAACATTGAAAAAATAACCACTAACAAATATTTTGATAGTAAAGTTGTTGCCATAAATACCAATCTTATAAGTATTTTAATGTGTTAGACCTTAGTTGCAAACTTCTATTAATGAACATTAGTTTGTAGGAAAATCCTTCTTAACATTAACATGAAAATTAAAAGAGATACAGCAAAACATATCGAGCAAAGGACATTTTTAGAAACAATTTAGATAACACGAGGGCATAACTTCTAAAACATTAAGGACCAGAAACATCTTTAGTCTGTTTTCATTGAAATATGAGTAGCAAGAATGTGAACATAGGTCAAACTGGTTTAAAAAAAGAATTTAATTAATTATTTTTTAAACCATATCAATTTTTTCATCAAAATTGAAAAGCAACAACAAATGCATAATAATTACCACATATTTTTTCTTAGCATCAGAATTTGTTTTAGCAGAAACTATTTCAAACATAACACGTTGAGAAGATTTTCTTGGAGAAAGTCCGGATAGCTGTGAGCCAGATATAGATGACCATGATCCTATTTACATAAAAAATATATAGGTTTTAATTATATGGTTTACCTATTTATCTTTTTGACTTACACTGCTTAACCTGTATAACAGCTTGCATAAGAAGTAAGTTAGTGTGCGTCAAATGAGTATATTGACATTTTTACATATAATTAGAATTTTTAAGATACTTACTGTATTTTTCAACAGATGACCCGGAATCTTCCCCATCGTTGAAAGAAAGTTTACCTTGAACGATTTCTGAAACACTTGTATCGTCAAACTCATCATCAAGAGATGAATTTTTCTCATCTTCCTCATTTGTAAGAAGACGACGGAACATTTTAAGAGTATTTAACAAAATCGGTACTGAAGAACAGTAAAGTCTAATCACAAAAAGTCAGCATTTTCTTCGATATCTAATAATATAGATTGACTATCATGTGTGAAAATGATATTAAATCATCAGACATGATAATTTGTGAGTCATTTTCATTTTCACTAATAAATAAATAAATATCATGCGGAGCAAAATTTATTGCCATATCTTATAATCAAATAAAAAATTTCATAAAAATATGAGAATATCCGCGGTGGCCTAAATATGATATTTCAAGTGTTCGTTCGTATTATTTACATTTCAAATTGTATAATGGAAGAAAATTAAACTGGATCCATTCAAGCAGTTCAGAACTGAAGCATTTTCTAGAGTTTTTTTTTATTAAATTAAAAAAATATTTGGCAACGAATTTTTGTCATAAAAAAGGTGTGTCTGTGAAAAAGATGAATGAGAAAGAGCACAGAAACTCGAACATTGAGTTTATTGCGTTTATATATTTCTATAATATTTTCCGACCGGCAACGGATTCAAATTTTTGATGCATATCCTGGTTAAATTTTTTTAAAGTATCAATTCTGTAAATAAACAAAACGTTGCTGTCAAATTGATACTTCTAAGAGTACATTAACAAATTTAAAGTTTTTAGGATGCTTTTTTCTCTGAAAGGTCGTAAAAAGGATGATAAGTCTCAAGACAGTAGGAAAAATTCGAAAATAGATGAGTTCGGTGATGATTTAGATTTTCCAGATTCTCCCATCAGAAAACCTACTGGTAGAGGTGAAAGAAAACAAGAAATGGGGCTTGATTTTATGTCAGACTTTTCTCCTGAGTTTTCTAATTCTTCTGCTATTCCTGTAGCACCTCCTCGAGCAAGAAAAACTGCTGGATGGGGTGAAGACACGCCTGGCAAAAAAAGCTGGCTTCGTAGGGGATCCAAGCATTTTACCCAAACTTCTCCAAAGAAAGAGATTATGACTGACACAAGTCCCATGACAGCTGAAATACCCGTAATTCCTGATCTTGATACAATGAAGGATGAAGAATTGTCAGCAGATATTGCTAAAGCGCCTAACTTAGCTGTCAGCAGAATCGCTACTTATCAGGAATTGGATAGTGATTTGTCAAAACATGCTGCATTTCAGGCTTTAGATGGGATAGATCTGACCCTTCTAACCAAAAGATTGTTGCCTGAACATGTTGTTAAAAAAGAGGATGAAATACCATGGACTTGGGATACTCTATTTGCTGATGTTTCCTCCCAATTAAATGCTAAAATGTCACAAGATAGCAATGAAACAACTGTTGCTGAAAAGTAATTTGTTGATGATTTATTGGTAGCACCTATTGCGTAGTATTATGAAAAAGCATCAATGTTAGAGTAAATGATTTAATACATAATAAGCACCAAAGTTTCTACAAATTCAATTTGTCTTTATTACATTGATTGTTATATTTTTTAAGATTGATTTTCAAAGGCTCTGCCATCATGTGAGATAACGCTTTTTAGCATGTAATATGCTATTTTTATTGCTGCGGTTTTTTTTTAATAGTTTATGACTATTTGAGTTTTGTCTATCCTGTGTGCTAATTATGAAAATGGAGCAAAATGTCAACATGAAGAAAAGCTAGTTTTTTAATAATGTAAATGCTTTTTGTCTAATTTTTTAATATTTGAAAAGTTTCTCCAGTTTCAAAATGTTAAGGCTCCTAAAAGATATGTAAAAATGGAAAATTATTCCTTGTTTTCGTCTAGAAAAAATCCTGCTAAACTGATGATAAAAAAAAAAAAAAAAAAAGAAATGAAATTGTTTTTAAGCTTTTTATTCCTTAAGCTAATAATCATTTATTGTTTGAGAGTATATATAATAATTTAAATTTAAAACTTTGCTTAAATTTTAAAACATTCTAACTGGGTTTTTTTTTTTTTCATGGACAAAAAGCTTTGCAAAACACTATTAAGTTTCCGTTGTAAGCCTGCTTGTTAAGAATATTCTGGCTCATTGTTTTTCTTTAAAAGAAAATAAGAAGGGGGGGAAAATGCAATATTTTATTGTTTACTTTTCTATGAGTCAGTTCTTCAACCAAGTTATTAATATTGACTAGTACATGGTCATCAAAAAAGAATACCAATATTGCAAATTTGTATCATGTAAACTAATAATCACTTGTGAATATAAATTTGCTTGATCTGACATTTGAACTATAGTCTTATCTCGACCTATATTTTTTAAAGCTTCCTTGAAATTATGATTTTAATTGTGTGTGACTGGTATCAGTAATTGTTTCATTATACTCACTTAATAAATTCCCAGAAGAAAAAGTTAGTATCTTCAAGGTTTTGCAGAAGGCACATAATTGGGCCATCTTGTTTAATTCTTCAGTTGGAGAACCTCTAATATAAGGTTTCATGTATAGATGGATAAAACTGAGGATAATTTAATTAATGAAAACTGTCACCTTAATCCTAGTGAGATAGTATAAATGCCAGGTTGTCAGGGTTGGCAGGTTTTTGACATGTGACAGTTTTTGACAGTTTAAACCATAGTTTAAACCGTCACGTCAAAAACCTCACTGTCAAAAATGTCAAAAACCTATATTCATATCTGAAATTTAATTAATACATAAAATTTATATATTTTTTATAAAGGATAGTGTTTCTAAATGTTCTAGAAAAAATAAATTTAAAATTTTGAAGAAACACTTATATTTTGAATAGTAACCAAAATCTTGTACTTTTGAAAACTTACATCTTTTGTAATATTATGTATTCATTTTCATGTGTTATTGAAAATTTGCAGTGATATTATTAAGAAATTTATTTATAACCAAATTTAGTGTATAGTATAGATTATACTAAAAATTAGACATTTTTAAAGATAAACATTAGCAGTTTTGTACATTAGACATCTTCTTTTAAAGAAAAATCTTTTTAATATTCTTTTAAATCTTCTTAATAATCTTTTTAACATAAGACAATACAAATTTAAGTGCTTTCTGTTAAATACACAGAGTAGTTAGTGTCGATTTACAGTATATTCAGCCTATTCATTTACTATGCTGAAAATTTAGTTTATCCAAATACTTGTGAATTTCATTTTGCTGAATACTATATAGTTTTGTTGAATATCTAAATATTCAGCTGTTGAATAATTACTTCTTGCTTTCAAGATATGCATTATTTGTATTCTTAATACAAGTGGAGAAAAAAAAATTAAGAGATAAAAATTGTTTTAAAATGATAAGTGTAATAATTATAAATAAATATAATAAACAATATGAATTATATTTATCATTATTCATAAATATAACTACTTTTAAATTCAAATTAACATACTGGATAATAAAGATATTCGGTATAACATTAAAATTTTTTTTCATACACTTGTATCAAGTTTGTATTTATACAACATAACTTGTAAGTTCCTTATAAATATTAGTTATATGTTCCTTATATGTCAAAAATGCATAGTAATAAACTTTTAATTTTCTTAAGTATCAAAAAAAAAATTTTTTTTTTAAATATAAATATTTAAACAATTTTTGTGCAAAATTTTTCTGCACATGCATTTGAATATAAATTTCTGAGATTTTAAATCTGTTATTTTACCTTAATTTTAATTAAAAAATATTTTAAAACCTGCTGATTACCTATAGTATAATTAAATTTCAATATAATGCATGGCAACTGTTGGTAGTTTTGAAGTTTATATATTTTCTTGGCAAACTTCAGTTTTTGACATTTTTGACGGTTTAAACCAGTATTATACCCTTGTCATGTCAAAAACCACTTTTTGACGTCAAAAACCCAACCCTGCAGGTTGTGGTAGTGAATATTTTACATCATTTCATATTAAGACTTTTCCTTATATTTAAAATATTTTTCTATACATAACTGCTATTCTTCTCTGGTTTCCCTGTATTCTGACAGTATTATATTAATTTTTTAGTAAATACAAAAACTGACCCTTTTATATTTGAAATATGGCTACGATTCTGATGTTTGTCAAAGAAATCTTTCAATGTGCATAAGAAATTTGGGTTATGATATATATATTGTATATTTATGATTGTTTCGTATTTTTGTTATTGCTATTTTCTAAATTTATTTTGCAATAACTGTGATGGAAATAGTGCTAAATCTGGAGAGATTTATACTTCTTATTACATCTATTATGTAGCAAACAAATTATTTAAACTTTATGTATACATTATTCCAGCCTTTCATCCCATCAGTGGGTTGAAAACGAGTACCAAGCATACTTGGGAACTAAACACTCGGATCTTCGCGTTCAGTTGACCACCCAACTGGAACATCTACTCCTGTACCCCAGAGTCCTAAGTCTACTGATATAAAACTGATATGGGCACAGTAGACTTTCGACCCTCTATGGGCTATCGCGTCACAAAGTTATACATAATTATTCATAATCACCTGCCAACAATCAAGTTAGCAGATATAACTACTGCTTGTTGCTTTATTCAAATGTATTTAATGTAGTAAACAAAATTTCAATTAGAATTTTTAAAAATTAATTCATGAATTGAGGAAAACTAATGAGCTAAAAAATCAAAGTGCCTGTCAGATTTTGTGAGGTCCTGATCAAAATGTAGCCTTTCAAAAATTTATTTATTTATAAATTTTTTTTTTCTGTAGGACTTTTAGGGAAATTAATCATTTATAATCCTGTTAGATGTTTGGCTATTTATTATGATCTAGTTTGTAACTTTCTTTTCTAAATTTCTTTCTTGAGAATGAACATTTTAGATATTTTTTTATTATTATTATCATTATAATATTCTTATTTTTATTTTAAAATAGTGCTTAATCTTCATCAATAATAAATCATACGGGGAAAGGTGAAAGTTAGAAATAAAGAATTTTCGTTTTAGAAGTATTACTTCAAAATATATCAAAAAATATTTAAATGTATCTTATTTTTCTAATTCTATGATTTTAATTCTTATGAGTAAAAATGTGGAGACCACTGTCTGGGAACTATGCTTAGGTTATTATCTATGAATAATGATTTGATTTTATAGCCATCGTTGAACAGCCGGCCCAATTTTGGGTTTACGACTACTGATGTTCAATTATGTAGCCTTGTAATTTGGAACCTAATCCAAAAGACAAGGGAACTCCTGGATCAAGTATAGGGAGAAATTTGCCTTTGGGGAGGACTTAGATGGAACTAACCCGCATTTTCTTTACATGGAGAGGAAGACTACGAGAACCTCCCACGGTTAGCCTGATGGCAAGGGGTCTCTAACCCATGACACATACATTAACCACCTTCCACCACCACATACATTAACCACCTTCAAAATTCTTAGAAATTAGAGGCCCAGGGAAAATGCCTTGCTTGTCAAACTTTTCGTATGACTCTGTACTTAATGCTTAGTTAAAAAAAGGTTCACTTCAATTATTGTATTTTAATGGGTAGTTTTTAGTTAGAACCATGACAATTTATTGTATTATACAAGTGAGGCACAAACATGTAATTTAATGATAACCAAGCACCTAGCTTTATTTTTCAAGGCTTCATCTTTTAATGGCCGTAGTTGGAGTGTCACATAATTTTGATCATAGTCAGATGATGTGGACAGTGGCTGATTACAATTTTTTTTAAAAAAATATAATGTAACTTTATCTATTAATGATGTTATCTAATACTGTTAATGATTGAAAAAAAAGTGCCCTTAATTTGTGATAAACTAGAAGCATTTCATTTTGAACTTGCATTTAAAAGACAAATTACTATTGTAGTTGATTTATGATTCTGCAAATGCTCTTCACATTGAAAATTTACCAATGCTACATACGTGATATGTTTAAAAATATTTTTTATAAAATGGAACAGTTAAAAAAATTTCCGTCCACAAAATATTAACTTTTCGTCTGTCCAAAACTAATCCGTCCTCAGTGGATTTGTCTTTTTTAGGCAAATATAGGTCCGCCAGTGATTTTTTCCTTTGGCAGTTTTAGTTTATAGCACTGTTGGATATACTTATTCTTACTTAATGTAGATAATGTCACTTACCTTTGGCACACTAAACTTAATTCTTGTTCTTAAGATATTAAACACAGTATCTAGCTCAAATTTTTTGTCTAAAATACATTTGACCTTTGCCTAAATTGTTTTTCCAGGCATGCTACTTAATATATGACTATATTTTACCAATATATGCTAGATTTTAATACTGGTATTGTGTTATTATTTTTACTTATTATTTTCTATGTATTTTTATAATTGAATGCTTTTAACCAAGTGTTCTGACTTGGCATAATTATACAAAATTTTCCATGATCCATTGCCACAAGTACTGGGTCTGACTTAAAAAAGTTGAAAGCACTATGTTCATGCTTTTGTTTTAACTGAATTTTTTTATACATTTTCACATTAGCTGTGAAAAATTTGTGATAAACTTTTCTGTTTTATTTATCATGTTATGTTAATTTTTTTCAAGTTAAATTGTGTATATAATGAATGCTACAAGTAATAAAGTAAAAATTAAAATTTAATTAATTTCGTAATTTACTTAAAATGTTATAGTTTAACACGTATGTTTTATTTGTCTTGCATTTTTAACATGGAATATAAACTATGGCTTATCTGCTAAGTTGGTTTATGGAAACTTTAAAAAAATTAATTTTGTGGATAGTTGTCAACAGACGATCACCTTCTATTATTATTTTATGTTAAAACACTTTTTATTTAATTATAATTATTAATTATAATTAAATATTCTTTATGGCTTGTTATTATGAGGAAGAAACGATTTGTTTTCATTGCAAAAGTTGAAAAAAAGAGAAAAAGTAAATGCAATGTTTTGTGAACAAAAAGAAAATCTAATTTGAATTTAAAATTAACTTTGATGCAAATATTTAAAAAAAAATTATATTGAAATAAAAATATTTAGCTAATAATTTTAACTTAATAAAATTTTAATCTGAAATACTTTATTAAAGTTTTATAAAGTAAAAAAAAAATTATTATAGGAGTGAATATTGTAGTAAGCCTGGATGTGGATACTTAACTTTGTTACTCAATAACATTTTATCAGGAGTTAACAGTATTTAGATTTAAATCAGGTAGTCAGGGCTGATTGTGCTCCGGAAAAAATCCGGATTTCCAGACTTTTCGCTAACAGTGATCCGGAAGTTTCCGGAGATCGAAAGTCCAGACGTTTAAAAAAATCATTGATCACAGAAGTTTCCGAAAATCAAATTTTCAAAGGTGGAACTTAAAAACACAGTTTATTTTATTTGTTTGTAAGGGAGAGCCAGAGATACACTTTATAAGCTTATATTCATGATTCATATGATTAATATACATTTTTTATCAATAAATAGTTGTTGTAATCATAAACTCAAGAAAGAAAGACATATTTGTATGTTTTAATTACTTCTCCAAGTCATCATAGGTATGTGTAAATGGTATAGGTATGTGTAAAATTTTAAAAATATTTTAAGTAAACTAAGAAATATTGAGAAAAAGGAGAAAAACCTATTTAAACTTTTTTTTTTAACTCAAGAAATTTTCCGGAATTTCGACTTGGGCACACAATCACCCCTGGGTTGTGTAATGAATTATTTTTCTACATATGTTTTCAAGAAGTGTAAATTTTAAAGATAAATTAAGTAATAATATATCATAGTAAATAATGAATGAAGTAGTAATATAATTCATAATATATGGTGTATTATAAATCATATTATTACTGTTTATTTACGAGCTTTCCATGCACTACTTTTCATTAAACTACTGTAATTACTTCTGTAAAACTGTGTAAATAAATTTTTACAATAATAAAAATTAGTCACTCAGATATTTTAATAAATTATTTTTAAATTTTATAACTTTTTAAAAACTTAATGCCAGTGTTCTACTGAGGAAGTGTTTTTGCTTAAGTTATAGAAGCACACAATTCTGAGTTAAAAAGAAGTTTTATTGTAATTTACTATAGTACTTTCATTTTGATACAATAACTGAGTGCTGTTTGACCAGTTCGTCGGATCTTTTAGATTAAATAGTGCTACACCTAATGAATTTACCATTATCAATTGAATGAAGCAGCAAATTATGTTCATAAAAATACCAGGTTTTATCTGAAAATAAAATAAAACTTATTTTAAAAATTCATAAGTATAACTCCATTCAAATAATTATTAAACAGGGTGTACAAAAGATTCTTTTTCATAAGTATAATTGCAATCAAAAAGTAATTTTTAAATTTTGCTGTTTCTTTAAATTCTTTTAAAAGTACTTTGAGAAGAAAAAAAAGGATGATTGAAAATCAAATAACATTTACTTGAATCTTTCTCGATATATACATATATGGGTTGTGTGCGTGCCGCAGGATGGATGAAAAAAGTAAAACGGGTTTTAAGGTTAAAAGTAAAAATTTTGCTAAGAATTGCTGCGATTTGGTCTAATTCGCAATAATGAATATAGTTGAAAGAATCTTTTTTTAAAATGAATATGTTTTAAACGATTTCTCTTTAGAGTTCTTATTTAGCAATTAAATTGATTTCTTAAAACACACTTGTAAACTGCAGAAACCTTTAAATTTTTTTAGTTTTAGCTCATTAAAATCATGACATGATTAATAGAACTTGGCGACGTATTTAAGATGGTTTTTAATAGTTTACGACTTAATTGCTTCAAAACAGACAAAATTAACTTTACCTATTTAATTTATTATATTATTTCCTAAGTTTATTTTTAGAAAAAAAGAAAGAAAGAAATCTGTTACGTCACTTTTAGAGATTTTTCAGTGTGTATTTGGGTGCATATTTCTTGTAAAATTAGCTGATTTAGTTAAACTAAGTCCAATTAACGATAAAACTCACTTTTCAATAGTTATATAGATTTTTAATAGTAAGGTTTGAATAGTAAGAATTTCTGAATTTTCATCAAATGTGCGATAGAAATTCTATATTTAGTATCATTTATGCGATATTTTTGAACATATTCTCAACGTAGAGGAATAATTTATTTCAACACAACAAATGGCAATTTTAATTTTCTATTGTTAAAAAGAGCGATTTCTTAATCTGCGTAATTGATTCAATTTATATTTTAAATGCGGAGCTACTTTATTGTAAGATGAAAAATTGTTTTTTGAATTTAAAATTTATGAAATGATTGCGAAAAGGTGACCATAAAAATTTGCTGAAATTTTTTTTTTTTTCACTTTTAGGCATGAATATTTTTAATTATTAATTTTTCATAAAATAATGACTTTTGAAAACACCTTTGAGTTTAAAACAATTTTATAACAATAATTTGAAAATTGTTATACATATGGATAGTTAGTGTTAGCATGTCTTTTACCTAAAAGAAAATTGAACTTTAAGTAAAGCTTAGATTAGAAAAATAAATTGTAAACTTCATTAATAATGCTTTAAATACTTTTTTTCCCCGAATGGTAAGCACTGAACTTTATTTGTTTCGCCTTAGAGTTGTTACTCATTTCGCGTTACCGAGTGGGCACCTGTGAACCAAAGTAACGGAGGCGAGTAACATTGCCCACGCCACACTGCCACAAACCCGTTCATAGGGTGAGCCACATTCACTCATCACACACAATGGAGGACAACACAAGAGAGAGAAACATGCATGCCCAGAGCGGGATTCGAACCCGCGGCCATTGACTTCGCAGTCAGGCGCGCTAACCGCCCGGTCATCTGGCCGGCACTTTAAATACTATTTTTTGGTTTAAACGAAAGTTGTCAGCAACCTATTTGAGCAAAACTTTAGCAAAAGTAGGGAAATGCTAATTCTACATGCGTTTCTCTTCTTTTTTTTTCAAAATAGTTGCCAAGTTTGCTTAAACACTTATTATACCTTACAACTAGATTAAGAATACCCTCTTCATAGTAACTTGCGCGAGTGGGTGACCACTTGGATCAGTCTGCGTAGGGACCGAGGGTGTGCGGTATTTTCACTTCCGTTTTCACGTCTTCGTTAACGTTGTACTAGTTGCCGCTAAAATGATGTTTGGAACATCGGAGAAGATTGAAATCACCTAACGCTAGGTATGGGCTGTATTGAGGGGTGGTCTAAAACTTCCCAGCCAAAAGAGAAAATAAACCTCGGGACTAAGCTGTGGAGAGTCATTGTCATAGCGAAATTTCCCGTCAGGACAGTAGGAAGCTTCGTAATCTTCAGAAATCTGCCGGTGAACGTATGCAGCAGACACGTTTTTTGCCGACTAAAAACGCATCACTGACCGTACCTCATACGTAACGGGCGATTTGCTAAACTTGAACATTTTAAAGACACAGAACTGACTGCACAGGTTACATACACAGCTGTAACTGAGCACAGTTGTTCTCAAGGAATGCCGAGACACGACGCAAGTATTCATTGTGACCCAACGCGTCACCTATTAGTATTCACCACAAAACGGCCCTTAATTTTAAAAAAACCACCCTCGTACTATACAAGTAACGTCAAAAGCTACTTACATGTAAACGTCAAAAATTACTTACCATGTCTACAACTCTCATACATCCTGTATCAAACACAATTGCATTCGGTCCTGTAGCAACTGGCAACATGAAAGCGTATGAGCAAGTTATAGTGACTGGTAACATTAAGTACAGTGGATGTACATGAAAAGCAATAGCCTGAAAGGAAACAATCAACATGATGTAGTTTCTCATGATAAGGAATGAGGATTTTTGCACTTATTATCATTGCAGTTGTATGCATTGTCAGAAAAATTGTAATTAACAAATTAATTTCGAAATATGAAAGAATGAAGATATTCTCAAGATTAGCCTAATGATATTTTAACCAGAAATGGCGAACCAATGTTGCACGTCACAGGTTTTTCGGAGACGCACGAAAGGGAAGCTCAATGAGTACAAAAATAAAAGGATCACCCTAAATAACTTTTGATTTAATGATCGGATCTTCACGCTCAATTTGAATGGTTCTAGGAGGTGACCTCAAATATGCTAATTAATTAGTGCAGGCGATATTTTAAGTTACCAAATCAGATACAAAAGCGTACTTTCTCTAAAGAAACATACCTTTTTTCAACAGATTCGGATTTCTGAACTTTGAAATTGTAAGGGTAGCCTCAATCTGGGAAATATGGTCAGCATAGTTTGATCAGGAGAGCGGTCCAAAGTTTGGACTCCTTAATGTTAATTTTACTTTTCGAAATATCACAGGATCTTTTTAAGCAAATAGAAAACTTTTTTGTACACTTTTGAAAAATTTGTTTATCCAAAGATAATTCCATACAAAATATAATTTTTTGTTAATCATTTTATTTAATAATAGTTGAAATCTTTATGCATTCAATCTTTTACAACATTTTAAAGAATACAATTTTGCATATCAAAATGCAAAATTTGATCGAAATCGGTCGAATAGTTTCTGAGAAGCCTAATTTTAAAAATACAACTTATTTAAAATTCGATTTCTTAGGAACTATTTGTTCAACAAGATATTCAGGGTAATACGTTTTTTTTTTTTTTTGCGCACTGTACATGTTAAATTACTTTCATTCAGTAAAACTCTTTGCAAACATACAAAAAAGAAAAAAAAACTGTTTTCAAAGCAAGAGGCCATTATAAGCATAGAAGGAAAAAAAGTACGATTTTTAGTACCATTATGATAATACTTTCTCTACTATGGAAAACCATATGTTGTAGAAAAGATCTATAGAAAGCTAAAAATATCAGTTTTAATAATCTCAATTTAATTTTATTGCTTCAAAATATTTTATCTTGGCTTAAAATGAAAATGAAATATTTTTTAAATACTGTTTATTCGATTTACATTTGCAGCAATAACTCAAACAGCAAATATAGTTATACAATGCAATATTACAGTTTAAAATTAATGTACAATGGTTCAAAGATAATTTTTTTAAAGAAGAAAATTAACAAGTGGCATACTTGACACCCGAAAATAATAAATCGTATTTTTAATGGTACACAATCAAAAAGGATTCGCCATATGTTTTAATATAATGAATATATTATCTGTTCGAATGAGCCTATTATCACTGATATTGATAAAAATAATAGATTTATATTGTGAAATATTAATCAAACCTATACTAAATATGTTTAAAATCTATCTAGAAATTTACGTTATTCCACTTACACAAACTTAATTTTTATTTCTTTGTTTATCTCAAAAAATTCAAGATAACATTTTTCTTATTCACTGTTGTTGAACGAACTTTTAGACCAATTTACGCGAAATCTCATCATGATGTTGTAAACACACAAATTAATGACTTAATTTAAAATTTTGTTTTTTAAAATTTAAAACGATTTTCATCGCAAATCCGACAGAGAGTTTTCGAACTATGAAAATAATTTGCTAATAAGCGTTTATTGAAAGAAAAACTCTCAGGGAACCATCAATTTTACGTAAAAATATATATATATATATTTCACCTTTATATTTTACTAAACATTCGTAAAATTTTCGTGAAACTGAAACGATGAATTCTAGCAAATAATGGTTATCCAAAAAACGTAAAATTATGCGTAATTAAATTCGTTTTTCTTCGCAAATATTTTAATTACCACTCTTTACTAGATAAGAATGAGTAAGTCATTTTTATAAATTATTTATGTCTAAAGTACGTCAAATTTATGTAAATTGAGACGTCGAATTATAACAAAAATTGGTCATCCAAAAAACGGAAAATTTACATAAAATTTTACGTAAAAAAATTCGTTACTTCTATGACTATTTTACCAACCACTTTTTGCAAGATAAGATATCAATTGCATTTTTTATAAGATATAAATTTTTTTTAAAGAAGGAATATGTAATTTTTACATAATATTTACCCCAACAATAACGTCAAAATGCACTTAAGTTGGAACACCAAATTACACAAAAAAAGTGACTATCCAAATAACATAAAATTTGAGTAAATAAATTTGCCGAAATTTATATGATAAATTTTCTTCGTAAATAATACGCAAACTACACAGAATCAATTTTACTAAATCTAAATACGAAATATTCTTTCGTCAATCTTTCGTAAAATATACGAAATCAATCTTACCGAAGAGTAGTCGGTAAAATCCATTCCGTTAATATTACGTAAAATAAACCAAAGCTTTTTTACCAAATACGTATCTCAATGGTAATATCATTCCGAAAAAAATCATGTAAAATTTACGTATTAAGCGTACTGACTTTACCAATTTTCCCAAAAATTGCATTTAGTTTAGATATCATGCTAAATGGGTAATATTTCATCGAATTTTATACATTAAAAGAGATCAAATACATTAAAAGGGACAAAGAATACGGATTATCAACTCATTATATCAATTGAGATGGTATTTATCAAATATTTTATCAATTTTTTATACGAATTCAATTTAAATATACAATTTTTTTTAACTAAGCGAAAAGAATTACCCACATTACTACATTAGTAAAACTTATTAAAGTTTGATTAAATAATATTAATCGGGCCCTAAAATGTACTTATGATCCAAATACATTAAAAGGGACGAAGAATATGGATTATCAACTCATTATATCAATTGAGATGGTATTTATCAAATATGTTATCAATTTTTAATACGAGTTCAATTTAACTATACAATTTCTTTTTAATTGAACGAAAAGAATTACCCACATTACTACATTAAAAAAACTTATTAAAAATTGATTAAATAATATTAATCGGGCCCTAAAATGTACTTATGATCCAAATACATTAAAAGGGACGAAGAATATGGATTATCAACTCATTATATCAATTAAGATGGTGTTCATTATTCCTTGACATAAATAATCATCATTGCAATACCTAGTATTGATCAATAACTCACCATCTGATTGATAATTGGCAGGAAGATAGTCGCCACCGTTGAATTGCTCATTACTTCAGTTAATGCCGCTGTTAAAACGCAGAGTATGGATTGTACCGCTAATGGAGGCAAAAATGAAAATTGAATCATTTGTTCTCCCAGCCAATTTGATAATCCTGATGCCTGGAACAGAGAATTGTAAATCAAATCTCAAGAAACTTAAAGAATTGGATAGTTTACTTTTAATAAAATGATTGCTTTGTAGTTAGATAGAGGTAGATTCAATTAAGTTAGTTTATATTTAAGCTAAACAAATATAGTACAAATATTCTTAATTTATACCATATAAATTTACATGATGTTTATTTTTAATTTATATTAGCCATACTTACAATACGAAACCTGCATAAATTACTAATTTCATTGAAATTATAAACAATTTTGAAACCCAGTATATATAATTTGAAAATGTTTTGATAGTTCTTAATATGTAGAGTTATTATTAAACAGAATTGTATGACTTTATTTTTCGTTTAAAATTGTTGAGTAACTATTTGGTCTGTATAAACACTGAGAGTGCCATATTAAAAAATTTGGTTTACACCAGAGGTTACCAATTTTTTTCGGCTAAGGAACCCTAAATGATCGAGCTTCTTCTGGCAGAGAAACGACTTCATAAATAATTCTCATTAGCATCTGTGTATATACTAACCAAACAAGACTACAGACTAATTCATTCGGATATAAGTAACTGTCTTAGAATTAAGTTAAGTATCAGGCCGTTGAATTCAAACGTCTGTAACAACCTCCAGTTCTGAATTTAATTTTGGCGTATGCAAATTGAATAAAATAAGCTAAATTATGGTTTTCGAAAAAGAACTCTTATAAACTGTGAGAACGGTTATCAGAGCAACATATTCTGAATTTAGTTATTTTAAATTGAAAAGTTTGATGAGTATTACTTATGTATTACTTTTTAATTCATATCCTTTTCATAATTTATTTAATACATTATTATTGGAAAAATATTTATATGTTTGTAAATTTTGCTACATTTTCTTCATTGACATTTTATATGAATAATTTCATTAAAATAACCGAAATATTAACTGAATTATGGTTGTATATAAATATAGTTACATTTCTCAAAATTGTTGAAGAGAGTACGTATTTTTTTTTATCTAATTAGCAACTGATTGATGGTTAATTTTAAAAAGTTTGCTTGACTTCTCGAGTGTTTCAATGTAATATAATATGTAAAAATTTGGTTCGTTATTTATGGATCACAGATTACTAAGGCTATATTTTTTTACCTGTTAGTCGTCTGTTAAACTTAGACCATTGCGAGATACAATGCGGGGAATAAAACGGAACAACCTGGATAACTTTTGATTTATTAATTGGATTTTCACGTATTGTCCTTCCTAATGCTTTGAAGGCCTAATCTTAAATATGCTAATTAGTTAATGCAAACGATAATTTTAAGTTACGAAATCAGACACAAAAATGTCATTCTCCGAAAAAAAACATGCTTTATTTTATGAATTTGGATTCATGATACTCAAAATAGGGAGAAGGGTAGCAGTAATTTGGAAAATACGGACCCAATAGTTTGGTTAGAAGAGCGGTCAAAAGTGCGGATACCCCTAAATGTTAATTTTATTTTTTTGCTTATTTCGCCATGTCGCAAAAAAATTTGAATCGAATCTAAAACTTTTTTCTGCACACAAAATTCGTCTAGCAAAAGATAATTTTATGCAAAGATAATTTTTAATAATTAATTGTTGTTTTCTTATTATTTTACTTATAATAATATTTAATAGTTAAAAAAAAGTTAAAACGTGAGGCATTCAAATTTTTACATAATTTGAATTTTTTTTTTTTTTTAGTCTATGTGGCTAAAGTACAAACTTAGAATGAAATCAATTGAACAGTTTCTGAGTTTTCAAATTTTGGTGTTTCGTTTTTTTCCCTGTGCAGTATACATTAGTAAAGGTGCTTACTTTGGCACCGTGAGCAAGAGCAAATCCTCCACCTAGTAGTATAAAGAGGCCCCATGGAAGTCTTCTTTGCATGGCTGACCACTGGAGTAGAGGAGGGCTTCCTTCTACAGTTCCTAATCGCCATGGCTCAGCTGGTATCAGGAAAAGAAGGAACATGATTGCTATCACGGGTACAGCATCACCTATACGACTGCAGCAGACAAAACAAAATCACTGGATTTAAAACTACATTCATATCAATCCTAATAATACGAGCTTATTCAAAGTTTGTAATCAGTTTTATTCAGTAATCGATTTTGAAATAAAAGACGGACGTATAACTGTTTTGTATAAAGCAGAATAATTTTTGGGCGGAAGTCAAAATGTTTAAAATAAAGCAACTTGTAAAGCAAAAATTAAAAAAAAGAAAGAAAGAAAGAGGGAGAGAGAGGAAGAAAGAAAAAAGGATAGTGTGAAAAAAAAGAAAGAAAAAAAAGAAGAAAGAAAACGGAGTGTAGTTCAACTTACAGCATCCATAGATTATTAAATTAATTGTTCTCATCTAGTTAGTTTACTGATTCCTGCAACAAGCAATGCTGATGAAAGGCTATCTCATTTATTTGGTTAATTCGTTGTCATGTTAAAACTTAATTGCTTCTACGCAATACATAATTAATTTTTACTATGTATTTCTTAGTTGTGATATGGAGCTAATGTAGTTTTCTCTTATTTTGCGACGTTTAAGAACTTGAAAAAGAAGAAATTTGACTAAATGTTTAAATTTACATTACTGAATCTCGCTTATTACAAAAATATAATTAAATGCATAATAAGCACGCTTTTTATACATTTCAAAAACAAAAAGCTACTAATGTTGCTTTCTTACTGTTGCTGTGTGATGGCTAAAGGAGATATCCTCTCTGCCCAGCCTTTCATGAATTTTGGCTCCCTGAATATCCAAAGAAATACGAGCAACAGAAAGAGAAAGAATACAGCTGCCTCATGAAAACTGGAAAAAAAAAGGTTACAATGCATTTACAATTGGAAGTTACAGCACAATTCTTATTTCATACAAAAATATTGCAAGCAAGTTTTTGCAAAAAACTTAGATTTGCTCAAGAAGTATCTCTTTTATCAAATAAATTTGCATTTTCATTTTAGTTTTCCGTAATAATATTTAAGTTTTTTCGTTCAATTCACATAAAATAAATGATTTTCAGAACTGAAGAATATTCCCTTTCACTTGCTTAAATAAAAAAAGAAAACTATTCATATAATTATCATTCATGAAATATTGTTTTTAAAATGCGAGAACACTCAATTTTAAACTCACTTAAAGAGTTAACGTTTTTCTAAGGGCTTGAAAGCGTACTCACTTTGCTCCAAGTGCCACCAACACCAGGCTAAACCTGAACACATTTTGGACTGTTTCGAACTTATATGGGAAGAAATTCAGCCATCTCCTCTTCTTGTTTATGATATTCTGAACGGCAAAGTATTCGTCAGACCAAATGGGAGATAACCCTCAATTTTACATGTTTTTTGGTGTTCAAATTTAAGAGAATTTTTAGATTTGATCGATCATCTTCAAAATTAATAAAATTCGATATGAGCATATAACAGGGATGTAAGTAGAAAGGCATTTAGCGTTTATCTCATTTTAACGCATGGTCTCATGGAGCTCATCTGATGGCCGAGTCCAGTGCCGTTCCTGGGGTGGCGAACGCCTGCTTGCAAGAATAATTTTGTGCGCCCCTATATACTATGCTTAAATTTTGATGATAAGGCCAATTTTCATAATCATTTTTAGTTTGAGGTTTAAACTGAATAGTTTCCTTATAGACTAAAGTCACTTTAGTGTAAGTGTTTGATTATGAAAATGGGAGTAATAAAATAAAACAACGTAAAAATATGACAAAAAATTTATTTTCGACATCAAATAAAATAGACTATTAACGTACAATATAGATCATAAATAAAACACGTCCATTCGGCAATTAACAAAAAATCTAATATAACTCAATTCACTCAACTGAGTGAATTGAGTTAAAACTCTCAAACGGCGCTCAACGCAAACAAATCCGTTGACTTGAAAATGTGCAAGATCTGTCTAATACTTAAGTACCTAATTATCAAATAACAAGGTAGTTTTAGAACATAACACGTCTTGCTTTTGCAGATGCAAGCTCATTGATCATTTCATTGCGATCGACTTCTTATATTAGTTTACTGTTTCTTCCTGTAATCAAGGTTTACAGCTTTGCTATAATTTGATTTATAATAATTTGCTATAATTTGATTTTTTTCGAATAGTTGAATTTGGCGCCCCTTAAATTGGGCGCCTGCGTGCGGGGCATTCGCTGCATACCCGCCAGGAACGGCACTGGCCGAGTCTCTGAAAACTGAAGGTATTCGCAAGGTGTAATGGGCAATCAGATCTCTGTCTAATATAACTATTGTCTGCGACTATCTGAGGAAGGTGCCTACAACTTTTTTATTTCATTTCGAAAATTCTCCAGAACTTGATAACATCAGAGTTGTTATATGAGCACAGCCAGAAACGTGTTAGGGTGACTAAAAAATTTCGGGAAATTTTCCATGTCTGGCGCATTGCGAAATGACAGTGACAGTTTGCTAAGAACAGAAATTTTCCAATTATCCTACGATATATGTTGCATGAAATGTTTTTTATTCGATATTTGGTAGTAGTGTAATCGAATAGAAAAATACGCTTAACATATTGAGTTAAAGAAATTAAAAAATTGAAACTTAAAAATACAAATTTAAAAAAAAAAGATTTTTTCTATCTACCTGATATACTGCGCAGAGAAATTATTTTTATTTAAGCAACACAGTAACTGCCGTAAGAGGTATACAGAACTTACGTCATTGATCCAAGCGCGTCTAATCGAGATGATATTACCCTCTTTATGTTCTTGTTCTCTTCATCATCTTGCTTTGATCTGCAATGAATTTAAAATACTATCTCAGAAAAATCGGATCTACGTTGAACCATATTATCGAGAAATTTGCTACAATCTTTATGACGTGTTAAAATTAAACACGTTTCGACTCAAATGAATCATAGGATCATGCAATCAAGTTTAACTGCAAGTCCGAAGAAAATATGCATTATGTATACAATGTATGTGTAGATTGTAGATGTAGATTATGTATACAATGTATATTAATTTGTTGTATTGTTATATTGTTAGATTATTACACAAATGTATATTTGTAGATTATTTTTTACTGTTTAAGAGATTTTTTAAAATGAACAAATAATATAAATGTAGTATCGATTTATAATTATAAATCAATCATGATTAGTTTAAATTAGCCGATAAAATCTTCTGTTTTTACGAAATTGTAAATAGAACAAATACTGACACAAAAATGTAAAACAAAAATATATTATATACTTGCAGGAGGGAAGATAAAGTAACTGCAGCAATAGCCAGCCAACAAAGACACATGCTATCATTCCAGGAATATTATACAACATCCACGAAGCGAAGGTGACTTCTGTGGTTTCTGGATACATTCTGCAATATATTGAAAGCGGTATACATTGTTTAATAAATTCAATTGGATACCTTCAAATGATATCATTATTGATAAATCGTAGCATTTGTTATTCAGAGGCCAATGAGGTTCGACACACACGCATGACATTGCTTACATATATCCAATTGAATCTGATTTTAGTCACATGGTTAGGTATAATGATTTCACTTTTTGTCGCGTTAAATGTACCAAATTATCATAAAATTGTGTATGATAGTTGAAACTCTATGTCACGAGCTTCGATAACATGAGTTTTTCGGTATCACGAGGAAATCAGAATTCACCTCACACTGCTATATGCCTCTTTCATCCGTATATATTTCTCGATTACAGAAGAGAGTTTTGATCAGCAATTTTTTTTACGATTTCCGAAGAATTTAAAATTCTTTGGGAATCTTGAAAAGTCTTAAGACCTGTTGTTGGTTGATGAGCATGTGACAAGTATTTAACTTCATCACGGCATTTTTTTTAAAAATAATTTGTTCCATTTGTTTTCTTGAGCCATCGACAAGTAAGTTATAATTGCCAAACTGTGCCTGTAATCTAATCTGCTCAAAATTTTTATAACTTCGAAATTTTTTCCTTGTTAAAAATTTTATTAATATTCTTTGAGCGAGAGCATTAGGAACGCGACCTTCACACATGCTTCAAGTTATTAAAAAAATAAAAAATAACTTACAAAGAACTAAACACTGCCAACAATTATTTATATTCTAGATAAAGTCCTATTCCTGCCATGACAGTGAGAATAAAAATCGCCTGCTGCTATTAAAAAAGTATCATTTACAATTACTGATATTTATGAAGAAATCACAAACTGATATTTATGAAGAAATAGTTTTTCTACGCTGAAATAGCCTGGTTGGTAGGGCATTGGACTCACATTCGTGAGAACGGGAGTTCAAATTCAGCCGTCCGAAGTCTCCCCGAGTAGTAAATGGTAACTGGTGCACGTTACATCTGTCAAGTGACAAAGTCCTCCATTTTTCCATAACAAATTATACCTGTGGGTGTGCTGAATTAGAGATTGATCGTTCTCTGGTTCCGGACAAAATTACGATCTGTGGATGAATAAATGGATGTATGTCTGAGTCCCGCCCTATAAGCGAATGTGACGTATGGGTGGGGCAAAAGTCGAATTTTTGGCCATAGATGGCGCCACTGGAAGTGAAGAACAATAACACTCTTGCCTTAAGGGCTTGCGAGAACAACAACAATAGTTACTCTGGACAATATTGTTTTAGTATGTGATGATTAGGAAAAGTCCTTTCCCTTTCCTTCCCGTTCCTTTCCCTTTTTAAGTAAATACATCAACATCATATACGACCAATTGAATTGTTAAAAATGTGTTAAATTCGATATCAATTCCACATATTCGATATCAAGTCATTTTTATTGCCTTCTTTCGAGTTCGTAATATAGAGATTTAGCTGCATTTGCTCGAAGCATAATGTAATATACCATGATAACAATTTAAGTAGATAAACATAATGTGATTCATTAACTAACTAAATATTTTAATTATTGACAATCGGGAAATTTTTTAAAATAATTAACATTCACTATTGCTCAAAATGAAACAAAATGATAATATATCACAAGTGGACAGCAAAGAGAAAAATTTAATGTCCTTGAAAATTAAAAACCTCCTAATAATATCACTATTACAGTATTTAGTAATATAAATAACATTTAATTTTTAATTAAATTGGAAAATTGGATGAAATTAGATAGGATATTCTGATTGACCTCTGACAATATATATATAATGGAATTTATTTTTATTAACTCTGGAGCAGATTCTATGTCAGCCTAAACAAGGCGATCTTAACTATATTCTTATTCTGACTTAATTAATTGGAATGTTAATAAAGTGTATCGAAAAATCTCACTCTTCAATGAATCCTTTCAGTATCATGTTAGGAGAAGTGCCAGTAATGGTACCAGTTCCACCACAGTTTGCAGAATATGCTATACTCAGTAGCAAAGCCATGTGCAGCTTATCGTAATTTTTATCAATAAGCACTAAAAAAAATAACATTATTAATTTATGCAATAACATTTAAAAATACTGTATAGTATTGTTGAAGTACTGGAAAAATCTTGATACACACATTTTCTTTCAGAAATAAATAAAAATAAATATTTTTCCCTGATTGCTATCAATTGCAAGATAATGATTTTTTACTCCAAAATACAGCAAAATTTAAATCTTAGAATTAAGAATAATGACTTTCTCAAAAGAAATTATTTCCTTTGTTTCGTATTAGCTATAATCGTAAATAATATAAGATGTTTCGAGATGTGTATGGATTAAAAATTCCTAGATAGTGATTTATTGTTAAATGTGCAAAATGTAATAGGCAATGTTAGCATGGTTCTATCAGAAACAAAGGATACATGGTTTATTTGGACCTCATCATTAAGAGGCTCAACACACTTAATTTAAATTTCAAATTAAATAAACAGTGTTTCATAAAATTAAATTTCATATTTTGAGATAATTATATTGGATCTAAAGGCCCTTAATCCTAAATTCTTCAACGCTGTGCTTCATGGAAAAAAACAGTCCTTACCATCCTTGCAAACACTTTCTAGATTTTGCCGATTTGTCAATATTTTTGTTTTTTGAGATGAAACAGCGGTCCTTTTGATTGATTTTAGCAAATACAGTTCATGATTTACACAGGTCACAGATATTAGAAACAATAATACCCAACGACATAATCATTTTTATGTTCTAATCTTAATTTTAAAAAGGAGTGTTTTACGTTAGGAAGTTTTTCCTTTACCTAAATCATCAGTAGACGTCGTCAAGTGTGCTCTTTGGTTACTTGTTCTGAGTTCTGACATTATAGCATCTACAATGGGCACCATCATTGCTGTTGTTGCTGTGTTGCTGATCCACATTGAAAGGAACATGGTTGTTAACATGAACCCCAACATGAGCCTAGTGGAAATGTATAACATTAGATTGTTATTTATTTATTTTTTATTTAAATTTATTACACAACTCTTCATGTTCCACAAAGTATAAAATGAGGCTTACAGATGGAAGTGACTAAACTACAATTGTAAGATAAAAAGAAACAGAACAAAATTAAAAGTTGTTGTTGTTGTTGTTGTTGCTTATCCTCTAATTGTCTGACGAAGTCAGACAAGATCCAGTAAGTTGTTGACCCTCAAAAAGTCGATTACAAGAAGTGGAGAAGCATATAAGTCCTCCTTGGAAAGGCCCAAGCAGTCGAGGATATGTTCTGCTGAGGCCTGCTGGGCTTCACATTTAGAGCAGACTGCATAAGTCTTTTTTCCTTTAAAGTACGAGAGACTGTTCGTGTGTCCGCTTGCCAGTCTGGAAATAGCTGTTTGAGATGCTCTATCACCTACATGAACAAGTGAAGAGCCCGGTTCCTTGGCCGCATACCAATGATGAGAGGGAGGGATCCTCCACTTTTTTGATAAATGAAAATAAAAGTTTAAGTCGTAAACAAAACTTTAGTGCATTTAGCAAACAAGGACAAAACAGGTGGCCAAGAAATACATGAGGTGTCTCAGTTCCTTTTTTAAGCTTTCTTTTTGACTTGAATGTAATTACAATAAAATATAATGTGTTCTACAGTTTCAGCATCCTGATCACAAGAACAAAAACTACAATTAACTAAATTAAGCCTAAACAAGTAGTTGCAGGAATTTCCCTATTCTGTAGGAATCTCAGTTAATTTAAAGTCAGAAAAAAAATTTCCTACAATTGAACCATTGAAAAATAGTAGGAAAAATCTTTTAGTCCACACAGCTTTTGGAACAAAAAAAATGGGTTTATAAAATGTGCGGGATTTAAAAAAAGGATTGCTTCTTTTCAAAGCCAGTTTATACAGCTCCATCTTAAATTTTTAATTTCAATTACATTTAATGTTTGGAGTTAGAGCGAGGAGTACGGAATAGTATTGAGTAAGAGCAAATTTTAATAAGTAAATCACGATAAACTTCATAGTTAGAAAAAGCTTTTGCTGTATGGAAAATGTTCTCTTATAAATGCTTTTTAATTCAACGAAAAGTAAAGAGCTTATTAAAGATCTTAATTTTTTTTATATTTGTTTTTCTTAAGCTTGCTTGTCTTGATTAAGTCTTGATTTTTGATTAAAAAATCTTACTGTAAATTAGAGAAAGGAAGATATCATTCTTACATTCTTAGTTTTGTAAAAAAATGAAGGTAAAAATTGAAAACGTTTTATTTAAACACAACGCATTAGATTAATTAAGGCAAAAAAAAGCTTTAAAAATTTTCGGAAAAATTTACCTAAATTACAATAGCTCCAAAATTACTTTTTACACAAAAATAAGTTCTCACCGCAATATCATTTACCCCCGAAATACTTATATAAAATTGAGTAACAAAATTATTTTTTTATTCGTCTTGGAGGTCCCACCCCCAGCATGGTATTTTTTACTACACGTTTTACAGTTGATAATTATTGAACTATTCATCAAATTTCAATTTTTTTTATTCTCTTATACTCCTTGTACATTTTTCTTCACCTTCGTATTTTCTAGGCCTTGTAATTTTTACGCAGCAAAACAAAATATGGCATAAAGAAAAAAAGGTAAAAAAGAAGAAAAAAAATTGCACAAAATCACTTAAAAAGGCTTAAAATTGGCACTTTGAATAAATTTGAATTTCAAGAAACTCGTTTTACGTTCGTAAACAAAAATGGCCCTTTACCCACTCCAAATTTCAACTCAGCAGTTGCAATTCTATGGCCTACAAATCTTTCTAAATTCGCAATGTCTAAATTCTACAAATTCTACAAATTCGCAAAAAATTCAAGGATTTGGAATCGGAAAACTAAGTTGTGGAGAAATTACGACCGATCGCCCTCTAATGGTGGTTTTCTCAAGTAAAGATAAAAGAAATCTCTTCATTAGATTTTAATGGCTGTATTAAGAGGGAATCCACATTTTTAAGAAAGTATTTAGTATATAGGGATGCAAGAAATGGAGGTATGAAATAAGCTAAAATACCACTTTGCATCTGAGCCTATATGCTTCAGAACTTTTAAAGCAATTCTTTCGTGTAATCCGCAGTGTTCCACAGCAACTGCAACAGCCAAGCCTCCTACAAACATCATCAATATTTCCTGGAAACAAAAATAATGTAACGTAAAATAATGTTATGAAAAGCAATGTAATATATAATGCATGAAATCATCACTTTTTATTTTTTATTCTAAAAATACTTTTTTACCGAATTATTACTTTTTTAAATGTTATTTTAGCATTACGTTTCAAAATTTAAAAAATATATATGATAGAAAGAAATTTTTGTTACAAAAAAATGGCAGTATATTAACTTTTAATCACCTTATAAACAACGACAACTTTGATCCTCATAGCACCATCCGGGAGAGGGCAAAGGCATAAAAAAGAATTTTCTTCGTAAAATATGGAACAATTTTATAATAAAAATAACAAAATGATGGGTGTAAAGTCAAATAATTCTCTTTCGAAGTAAAGTTTAAACTTACTAAAATAAACAATGAGATAAAAAAATATTTTTTTAAAAATTTTGTTTTAAATGAAAATTAAACTAAATGAAATAAAATGTTTAGCCAAAGACAGATTATTAAAAAATGCAGCGACACGTTCGAAGTGACCAGGTTGATATTATCACAGTCATTCCTAGTTTTTAGGGACATTCCATCTATCATTTTCTATCTATCAAGATTTTATCTAGCATTTTAGAACTAAACATAAAATATCTTTATTATAACGAAAAATGAGATGTCATATAATTACAACAATTTAATACCTTTTCATTTTGTGCCAAAATGTCAACAGTCCACGATAATAGACTTAAGGATTTTCTGGAAATCGAGACGTTTCTGATTTTTACTAACCTTCATGTAGTTGGAGCAAACTTCCGATGCATCTAGAATTCCAAATAGGGGCATCAAAAATACCGGCATGAGAGCTGTTACAGTAATGTGTACTGGCTCCAATATCCAATAAACGGCCATCCATAGAAGAATAAAAGCGCATTGTGATTCCTGAAACCAATTTAAAATAATATTATCAATAATTAAACCCATTAAGGGGTCTGTCCCACCACACGGAGCTACTGCACCCCGCTCTAAATGTCTTCAACTTTTAAGAAGTTTATTGTTTAACTGTTGATTTTTATTGATTCAAATTATATTTTTTATAAATTATAATTTCCTTTATCATTATTTTAAATGATTTTTTCTGAAAATCGAACTACAATAAAAAAGTTAAAATCATAAAGAATAGTAAATAAAATTCGCGATTTTTTCAAACTTAAGGAGTATTTTCATGGTGAATGTGGTTTGATCGTTTTACTTTAAAGACACCAATAAAATTCTCAATTTATAAATTTATATATTGCCGATGCAGTGTTGGAAAATATTTTGTATTACAATGAAAAGTTTGTTTTTAAAATAAATGATTTCTACATAAAATCGTTTATTTATGACAAAAAAAGATGGAAAAATATCTTTACTTTTCTTTTAACATAAAAACTGATTAAAATTTTCAGTTTGTTTTCAAGTGTCATCGTCAGAAAAGTTAAGAGCGGACTCCAAAAGCTCCGTGTCGGGGAACTGATCCAATATCATTAAATAACATCGTAAAATTATCATGTTGGAAAGTAAGCTGAGTGTTAAGTTCTAAAAATGTAACATTTGCTTAAAAAAGTGCATAATATTTAGACTTTTATTGACTGAAATACTATTGCATAGATATAAGAAGATCTGTAATCATAAATAAATCCTTAGTTATTGACAAGAGTACTAATATTCAAGAGTGAAAAAAAAAACAATGTTATCAAAATCAGCTGATTTTGTATCTGGGTAAATGAAAGTTTACTCAATTAAATATTTTACTTAAGGTGAGGAAATCATTTAAAGCCATTTTATTTGTAGAATATGAATATAAGGTGTTTCTACAACTAATTCACAAATAAAAAGTTATTTGGAAACGTTTTTCAATTTCGTATAACAATTAAGTCCAGTAATTATCGCAATCAAAAAGGACGTTTTCTACTGAAAAATTCGGTATTTTTTGGCAGAGAGCTTTATTATGTCATTACAAAGAATACTCGAAAACTTTCCCTCTATTCTTCGTACGCTTTCAGCCTCTTCTTCTTCTTCTTCTATTGGAATGACAGCCCTTTGTAGACCAGAGCCTTCCCTAAGAACCCTCTTCCATTCTGCTCTTTTCTTTTCGATTGTTCTCCAGTTAGTAATTCTTAGGATTTTAAAATCCTCTTCCACATAGTCAAGCCATCTGATCTTAGGCCTACCTCTAACTCTAGGTTCCATTGGTTTGTAATTGAAGATCTTAAATGCCAAGGAAGAAGGGTCCATTCGACAGATGTGCAAGGTTTAAGCGACTTATTTTGATGTATTTGTTGATATCAGCTTCCTTGATTAGCCTATATAGTTCAAAATTATGTCGTTGCCTCCATAAACCATTCCCATTTATATTATCGAAAAAAATTTCTCAAGGCATTTGTCTCAAAGAACAGCAAGCAGGTCTGATTGTGATTTAGTTAAAGACAATGTTTTGGATCCATTAGTTAAGATAGGTCTAATGATTGTTTTACTTAGCATTATTTTGGTTCGTCTTTTAATTAATTTTGACTTTAGGAATATTAAGCCATGAAGGTATTGATTAGCTGCTATAATGCGTCTCTTTATTTCTGTGCTTATATCGCTTAAGGATGTATATGAACCAAGATAAGTGAAATTGTCAACAAGTTCGAATTTAGAATTTCCGGTTTCTGAAAATTTGTAACTTGCAAGTTTTAATAATTGGCATGTATTATTTGGTCGTGACTTTATTAACAAATAGATGAATCTTTTCTGAAGAATTCTTTAAAGCGGTAATTGATTCCAACAATGCTTTTTTTTTCTGTGCTCTTTCCCTTTATGTGAAGAAAATGGCAGAAGTAGGGATTTGGAGAACGAATTGAATTTCTTCTAAACAAGCAAGTGAGGCGTTGTGAAGTTACATGATAGATTACACCCCTGTCCGTAAATGAAAGATAATTCAGAATCACACGGAAATTGAATTGGAATCATCACACACATCTTCAAGAATTATAATCAAATTACAAGAAACCATCAAATGACGTCGAAAGCACGGCGCAAGGACGTGAGTGTAAAAGAGAGGTAAATAATCAATGGCGGCAAAGAAGTAAAATTAATAAGAAGTTTTGTATTCTGCTCAGGGTAGTAATCGAATCTATGAAACAGAAAACGACTACGGATGATTTATTGCTTGGTAGAATTCTCAGCCACCTGGAACGTAGACATACTCAGATGGAAGTATCTGAGGAATTTGTAATTGCCCAAAGTGTTATCTCTAGGTTTTATCAACGATTCCAAGGTGATGAAAATATCAGTTGACGCTGCACAACAGTTTGCCTCCGAGTTACAACATTGATTGAAGACCGGCCTTTAGCAGTAACTGCTGAAAGAAGAAGGCGGAACACAGCATCCGATCTGTCTCGTCAGCTATCTGCAGCCATGAATACCCAGGTAAAACGTGTACAAATGTTTGGAAAATATTGGTCCATATGCTCGCAGGCCTGTCAGATGTATTCCGTTCACAGCAACTCAACTTCACCAGTGATTAGTCTGGAATATAGAACATACAATGAGTCCAGGTTTAGCTTGCGATCTGATTCATGTCAAACTTTTATATTGTGAACGCCAGGTACCCACTGTCACCAAGACAACATCACTGAAAGACACCATTACGGTGGAATTATACAGGGTTTAAGAGCAGGTCTCTATGCTCAAATTGGAACCATGGCTGGCCAAATTTATCGGAACCTCATTCGGGAAGAACATGTACACTAGTTTAGAGTCGTGTCTGTGGATGAGAACGCCGTAACCATAAGCAAACGTCATGCACGAGCGCCTTAAATCTCCGAATGGAATGACTAGTATTCTCTCTTGACTTGAATCAGATACAGCATGTGTGGGACATGCTTGGATGACGAGTTGCAACCCGTCAACCTCCTCCTACATGAGTACCAAAACTTGAGTGGAGTAATTTTCCTCAAGATCAGCTCTAGATAATTTCGTACTCAGCATGCCTAGACGTTGTACGTACTGTATTTCATCGCAAAGAAGACATACAATGTATCAACCATCATACCGACCCTGTAATTTTAAGTTTTTTCTCTGGAGCTGTTTTTAGGTATCTCCAAGAAGCAAAAATCTTAATTTTTATGATCTTTATCATGCATACACCATACTATTTGCTCCTTATCTTCTGCTTAATAAATAGGCTTTATGACTAAGTCAAGTTTGTTTTGTTTCTGAACCTTTATTTGTTTATTTATATTATCATCAATTTATGAGCAGTACACTATATACAATTACACTAATTATCATTAATTAGTGTAAAAGAAACTAATACCACGACAATCAGGCTAATAGCTTACAAGTTATAAGGGTACGAAATTAACTTGTACCTTTTTAAGTGTCTGATATAGTTATAGATGCATTGTTATGTATTTTTTCATTGAATTGAAAGACTATAATATCCGACTCAACAGGACAAATAATTCGAAAATCTGCAGCGTATTTATGCATAAAAAAGTAGGGGAGAATGAGGTCAATTGTAACAGGGTACGATTCTAACAGAGCAAAAATTTCGAGTTTTGGATTCTAGATTTGGTTCCTAGGTGGCGCACAAGGTGTATTTAATAAATCTACATGTACCCCCCTGCTGGCAACCATTTTTATGTACTTTTGAAAGAGTTACATCACAAAAGATATTTTTACGTTACGTAAGTACTTTTTTTGGTATTAGAATATTATATTGTAACAAAGTAATTTTGTTTAAACAACTAAAAACTATTAACCGAATATGTAAGTGAACACCTTAATTAACATTTCAAGAAAAAAAGATTAGTTTTGTTAATTAACTAGCATTGTTTTTAACAAATGAAGCTGAAATGGCGTCTTGGGGACGATTGTAATAATAAGTAAAGGGACGATTGTAACCGCTGACAATAAATAATCTTATGTTTACAAACCATTACTTAACTTTTTAAGAACCACCAATAGTTTCCTATATCATTTAGATTATGTTGCATGTGCATTATTTTATTTGTCACCTTTCACAGCATAAATTAAAATTTTTAACCCCTTAAAGTTAAAAGTTTAACCCTTTAGTTCTCTGCTCATTATTATTTTTACTCCTAAAATATCACTACTATTTTGATCAATAAAAAAATATATCACAACTATGATAATATTAATAATTAACTATGTTTTAGTTGAATTTATGAACTGTTACTATTGACCCCGTCTTTGGGGACAATTGTAACAAGTGCACGACTGTCAAAAATTGTTAATAACTAGTATAATAACATTTAAAATAAGGTTTTTTTCTTTTCTAGTAGAGGATAGTCTATTTTACTCGTCGGTCAATTAATACTAATAATATATTGGATTTTTTGTTAGTTAAAAATAGTTAAGTAAAAAATGTTACAATTTACCCCACTCTCCCCTACTTTTGACGTTTACATAAATACATGAATATAAAGAAAAGAATGAATATAAATACATGAATATAATCATGAATTTTGAAATATAAATTATTTTAAATGAAAAAGAAAAATGTTGCAATCGTAATAAATTAGTCATCTGAATGCAACTATTATAAAAATAAAGAAATAACTAAAATTAAAATTTTAGAAAATTGTGATGAGAGTTTAAATTTTCTTTCTGATTTAGAGAATAACCCCCATCTAAATGAATACCTAAAGCTTTAAATATAATTGTAATTTATATAATGTAGTTGAGTTAAAAGAACTTTACATTGTTAAATTAGATAATGCTTGTTAAAAGAGTCATGCAATGTTTAAATAAAGCAAGATGGTATAAATTTTATACTTATTATTGATTCAGCAACTCACTATTCACTCAATTAAATCCTTTACTTTATTACCTTCATTTAAATGCAGGAAACCCAAATTATTATTGAATAGGTAAAATTCGAAATATCTTTGTTGTGTAAGCATAAGATACGAACATTAATCATTCTTTCACAATGATATGTTAATAATGATTGTGAAAGATGCTTCTCAAATATCTTTTTTGGTCTATGTGATCTTTTCGATAATTAACAATTTTCTTCAAAAAGTGTTGCAGAAAGCCGCATTTTCTCTAAAGATAGTTAATTAAAAAATGAAAGTTGTGAAATTTTGAATGAAAATAGAAAAATAGTACCGGTGACAAAAATAAAAGCAATACAAAATGTACTCTACGTGTTATCTTCGCAAAATAAAATCTAATTAAGCTAAAAAAAATATTGCTCGTAAATTTATATTATATCAAACATTTAACTTTTAATGATTTCAAAAATTAAACTTTTGATGATTTCTAAACTTTAGGGTTCTCATTTACCGTGTTTGCAATTTTTCTGAAAATTATTCATGAATAAAAAAATATTTGAAGAGAAATATTAAAAAAAGAGTATGTTTAATGAAGATAATGTTTAATGATCAGAATGTTTAATGGAGAGAATGATTAATGACGTACCTGTTTGATGAAAATAATGTTTAATGAAGAGAATATTTAATGAAAAGGATTTTATTAAATTAGAATGTTTTTTTTTTATTGGCGGGATTTTCATGCAGTCAAAAATTATTCTAAATAGGCATTTTTAAAGGAAAAAATGATATTAAATTATTCAATTTGGTTTTCTCAAATCAATCGGGGAAACATTTTCGTAAAAAATAAATTATTTACGATTCGGAAGTGTTTGAAGGCTATTTTTTATTATAATTGTTTTACAACTTTATAAATGCAAGAATTATTTTACAATAATTAATACCAAATATTTATAATATAGAAAACTCTCTATTATACTCAAATAGAGTACAATATTATTTTTAAAAAAGTAATGGTTTTTTAAAATAAAATGCACAAATTATTTTTTAATAAAAAGGAAAAAAATTACATTTAAATAGTCATCGACTATACTTACTCTCCTCTTTAAATTTATCATTTCATCAACTTTCTATTAAGTCAATACGCAAAAAATAAGCGAAATACCTTGAATTACTTTTGATATAATAGTAGGATTTTCATCTAAATGGTTGAAGGGGGTGAACTCAAATATGCTAATTAGTAATGCAGACAATATTTTAAGTTACGAAATATAACTTAAAAAGTTTTCGAGACTCCTAAAAAGTAAAATTAACATAAAGGAATCCAAACTTTCTACCACATTTCCCAGATTGTGGCTACCCCCTATAATTTGGAGCTTAAAAATAATCATACGTGGAACAAAAGTAATGTTTATTCAGAGTAAGTAAGTTTTCGTGTCTGATTTCGTGACTTAAAATATCGTCTGCACGAAATAATTAGTTATTTGAGGTCACCCCCTCAAATCATTAAAATTGTGAAAATTCAATCATTAAATCAAAAGTCATTCATTAAGTTTCATTTATTTGTTTAATTTTTTTTGTGTGTGCACAGTATATTTCTAAAGTAAATTATTAGAGATTGTTGATGAAATATATACATGAAAAACTTAACTTTTTCTATTCACATTCGAGAAAAAATTTTTATTTGTCTTTTCCCCGGTTTATTAAGTGAAATTAAAGTTAGTTAAAACTTATTAAAATTATGTAAAATTAAAACTAGGCTCTTCATGATATATTTATTAAACCTGTTTATGTTTTTTTTCTTCATTAGAAATTTTTATAAGTTGTAGTACACCGATGTAGAAAGAATCCAAATATCTGACATATTCTGATTTTTTTAAGTTGTTTTAAGAAATATATTAAACAATCCAATTATTTTTTTCTTAAAAATAGCAAAACTGAATAAAAAAAAATATGGATGGTGCTAATTCTGAATAGTTTTGACATTATTTTCTCCACTTGTTGCAAATTTGGCTCATTTAAATACAGATAGAGTAAGATAAAACATCGGATAAACAAAAATAAATTTGACGATCGTAAGTTTTTAAATTCGCATTACTACAATATCAAAACGTAAAGCATGCAATAAATCATAATAAAATGTAGGATATAGCATTGTTCTCTCACTACAAAAGTGGAAAAATAATCGAATTTTGGTTTATTTAGTTATTTTAAGAATCCTTTTGAGTCCAAATTAACATTGGTATATTGTACCACGAGACACATAAACTAACAGTTCTAATGATTCTGGAATAAATGTTTTATTAAATAACAAAACAATAACTTACTTTATAAGAAGAAAATGCTAAAGGTGAAAGTACAAACGGAGTCAAAAGACTTGCAATCCATTTAAGTTTTCGAGACTTCATGGTCTGGACATGTTATGGTCACGTTTGTAAAAATGTTTGACCTTTGACAAGCATGATAGTAATGTGGCGCAAATGTTTAAGATTCTCTTATCTGTGATGTTTATTTAAAAAATGACTTATTAGAATCCATTTTGTTGTTTAATATAGATAAAAATAATGATTATTTTAAAATCATTCTTAATTTTTTTTTTCCTGATTCCTTGGAATTGTAACTTCATTCAAACTTCAGAGATAGTTTGAATTCCCACATTAATTTTTTTATTTATTTCCCATTTAACATGAATTAAAAGCTAAGAATGTAATTTTTTTAAGGATGTAATTTTGCTTCAGAAATAAAAGTTATGATCATAAAAAACTTCACTTTCAACATTATTGAGAAACAACATTCATCATTAGAAACATAAATTTACGGCCTGGATAACCTTGCTGGTAGAGTACCATGTCCGTGATATTGTGATTTCGATCCCCTCCGGCCGTATATTCTCCGAGTACAAAGTGAACACTGGTTTACGCATGTCGGGGTCACAAAATCCTCCAATTCCCATAGCAAACCAATACCTCTGGTGGTACTGGATCAAAGATAGATGATGCTTTGGTTCAGATCAAAATTACGATCTGCGGATCGATGGATGGTGTGTGAATCTGTCCTCTCTGTAAAACAGAGGATGTGACGTATGTGTGTTGTCTCTGGATCATCCTTAGGGATATTTCCTAAACCGTCCCTAATAGCCCATTGTGCAGCTATAGTGTGAAGTATATAAAAAGTACAGAGAAACATCAATTTTATAAAAATATGAGTGAAACATTTCATCGTGTCAAGTTTTAGCCCAAATTATTTCAACTTATATATTTCAATGCAAAATTTATTTAGACTTGAATTGCGGTAGATGTTGAACATTTTAAAATTATAACAGTTTTAAGAACGTTTGTTTTTAGAAGGATGAAGGAACTTAAATTAGAGCTAAATATGCCATGTCAAATATGCATTTTCTAGCTTGGCAAAATGCCAATTATCCGATGAAAACGATAATTTTTAAATTTTCTTTTATTACAATTGAAGCGAAGCACATAAATGATTCCCAAAATTATCTGGTGATTTATCCACAAATTATCAGGAAAATAATCTGCAAATTGTAATGACCCGATCGTGCAAGGTGGGCTTTGATCTTCTCAAGAAACAGTTACTATGACCCGCTAATTATTTTTATTTCGACACATAAGACCTCAAAATCTGATACTTAAGACACAAAAAACCCTTTTTCTAGACCTTCAATCCAGTTTAGATTTGGCGATTATCAATCCGCGATTATCAATAACGCTACGAGCTACGTACCGCAACATCTCTTGGCACCCTTCTGGCAATCAATTGCGATCGAAGACTGCCTTGACCATATTCTCAACTGGTCACCTAAAATGTCTAACATTCGAACATGGTACAAAAATTTACCCGACTTGTAAAAAATGCTGCGTCCATCCAGTCATACCGAAACATATACTTGATTGAGTCGGACTACCCAGGACGGACTTAACTTCCGATCGCCTTCTTGTCACCGACTTTCTGGCTGTCAACAACTTTTTGGAGTTGATCTGACTAATGTCAGATCTATGAGGATAAGCAACAACAAGCTACGTTATCCTTATAACGCAGCTTGTCCAATATATTCGTTGTCGTTTATTAAAAGTAAATGTTCGGATTATTTTGAGAGCTAAAAAATTTTGAATTTTGACCTGACCATCTCAGCCGTATGCATTTTACCCCGAATTCTCCCATAAATATCTTTTCAGTTCTAGCATACTTACCATGCCCTCATTTGTAAGAGACATGCTTCAAGTTTCACGTGAAAAATGTTGATATTGATCTAATAGAATGCAGCAATTTTGTTTTAAAAAATGCTGATATTTCTGTCTGTCCTTCGAAATATCTAAGCATCGTGAAGCTTCGTGAGTAAAAGTGTTGTTCTCAAAAGAATATAATACAAGTCAATACTATACTCTAGTGCAAGTTAAGAAAAAACCATTATCTCTATGGAGAGAAGAGAGCCAGTTTGCATCCATAAGTGTACGGATGGATGCCAATTTTCCAGCGCAAACGTAAATCAATATCACCAACTCTCGAGACGGTTTGCACTGCATCCTTTTTGTTTGCCTTCTTATTAATAATAGTAACAGTTATAAAAACAATAATTATTAACAAGTTTTAAGAATCAATAAAAATGATATCTGAAAATCGTAACAAATATATGCTTTTCTGTCAGCATTTAAAGAAACTGATTAAAGAATAATGAATATTGTTTGTTGCAGACGATATTTTCTTAGCGAAACAAAAGAAAAGATTCTTTACCCAACATTGGATTTGTTAAGAGCATGTCAGCAAAAGATCCGCTATTTTCAATAATCCAATGAAATCCAATGCTTTGGCAATGTCATATAGATGCTTCTTTTTTTAAGAACAAATGTTCTCTTTATTTATCGAAATATGTCGCCAAGTCTAGGATTCTAATAAGGATAAATTCTATGATATATATCATAAAAGATAGGCCGAATTAAATTTCTGCCAGACGTGTTTAACTTTTAAAAGCTTTTATATTGCTTTAAGAGCACGTTTATATAATTTGATAACGGAATATGAAGGAACTATATGCAGTCGCGAATAATTACTTAAATACTATATCGCAATTGTCTTTTCTTAACTTGCCAGGGAGTATAGCTTCGGCGACTCTTAGAATTTTTTTATTTGAAGACCTCGAAGGAAGAATGATTTATAGCCATAAAAGCTAAAAATTATTTTGAGCTGAAAAGGGAAGGATTTTTGTACAGTATGGGTCTATCTCCACTGTGCAATAACTCTCGGAGAGAAGCAATTTTTCATGCTATCGAATTGTCAAAGCTTAGTAACCCTTAACATGCAACAGGAGATACAGTCAACATTTTTGGGGGAAAATGTGCATAAACCATTCTTCCCAATTAGTCTTAATTTACGTATAAGTAAATGGTCCAATAATACCAAAAATATCAATTATTTGAAGATTTTAGATAAATCAAGTTTGTAAAATAACTATGCCTAACAAAATTTTTATTGTATTTTGGTGTAAAAATAATTTTTAAACTATTGTGCTAATATATTGTGTTTTTAAATCGTTAAATTTCAAAAAGCATATATTAATAAGTAGAAATAAAAAGGCTAAAGTGTTTAAAAGCAAATTAAAAAATATATCAAGTGATTTTAAGATGCACTTTTATTTGAAAATAAAGGATAGCATATCATATAATATTTTGTTATAAATATTTCTTGTACATACACTAAATATGCTGCTCAATATCTCGTATTAAACCATTACGGGAGACTTTTCTTTATATAAGTTGAACACACTACTAAAATAAAGTTTTTTTTTTAAATATAAAATTGAAAACTATTTTGAAAATCATGATAATCAAAAAATACTTCTCTGCATGGAATAGTATATAGAAAATTTATCAAAATGTTTACTTAAAACCGTAATTTATATTATTTTTCTAGATTCAGTTCAATATCTGAAAATTCAAAAACTCGAGACTTATTATATTTGCATTTACATCATTAATGAAAAGTAAATTTGAAATAATAAAAATATGTATGTTTCTAAAATCAAATGGAATTTAAAAGCATATAAGTTCGTTCTTAAAACATTCACACACTTTCAATTTCATTACTATCAGTTTAAATTCGTTTTTATTGTATAATAATCTTAACTTGATTACCCAATAGTTTTTTAAGTTCACCGACGCGGAACGGAAATACAAAATCCGCGAAGGAACTCATAGAAAACACGTGCTGCAGTGTCGTCAGAGTTCCCGATCCAATCCTCGAATCCACCAAAGCTTGGAAGCGTTGTCAGTGAAGTAAAAAAAAAAAATCCAAACAAACTGAAAAAGAGTCGATCTTGTTCTCCGCAATGTGTCCAATTCGTACCTGTTGATATCGTCACGAAGGGAAAACAATAACTACGGAAATAGTTTTAAAATTTTCTTCTGTTTGTTTTACGAACCAATCTTATTTTATCGCGCTTGCTACAATCTCTTTTTTCACTTAAAGAAAAATGCAAACGATTAACTAACTCGAAAACTTTTAATTGCTTTTACAATATTTTAAGGAATATTTTAAGCTAATGGGTGAATTTCTTTTTGGAATTTATTAGCTGAATTCATCTATATACATATTTTTAAAAGTTGAAATCAATTTTTTGTTTTGTTATGTAATGTGATAAAAATGTCGTTTGTGAAAAATTGGAAAAAAGTCTTTAGTATATGGTGGAAACCTGTGATTTCAATTTTAATTCCTCTAGCTCTTCTGCCAATAATTATCTTATATGACTCTCAGGTAAGTGAATTTTTCATATAGCCTTCTGTTTACAATGCATTTTATGTAAGATATTTTAAGATGCCATATGTACTTTAATGTCTGTAGAAATTGAAAAATTTCTTTTATTTGAATATACAATTAAATGACAATGTGTATTTATTTAAAATAATTTGTGATTATTTATAAGTGATTTCGGAAAAAAAGTTTAGTAATTAAATATCAATCTTGTGATGATAATGCGAACGAGATTTCGAATGACAAATTTTATTCAAATTATTTTCAGATGATTGAAATAAAAATTTTACTAAGTATTAAATTTTAAAAAGCGTTTTCTTTTTGTGGCAAGTGCGAATTCGTAATGAAATGTTCAACAACGCATTTGAAAGTATTTTGAATTCTCTAAGAAAATTTATTTTTTATATCAAATCAAAATTTCTAATATTTTTCTTACATATTTAGTTCAGATAAGTACAAGGAATTGAAATTAAAAGCAATTTAGTAATTTGTAAGAAATTCATAGTTTATTTCGTTATTGGTTGTTGCTTTAATTTCTAGTATCAATTTCTATGGAAAACTTTTAATATGGCTATTTCAGGTTTTTGGGAAAATAGCTCATAGTTTGTAAAAGACGTCACGTCATTTGTATGCAAAAAATTTTAAATTGTTTTTAAAAAAATTCGCTATAAAACTAACACGTTACGCAATTTATAGTTTCGTACCAAATAGTGCTTAACTAAATTTATCTAATAAACATTCATTACTTGTGAACAAAACATATGTTTTCAATTATTGGTTTTAATTTAAAAAATCACAAGATTTGTAATAAAGTTTTTATAAAACTTCAACATTTAACCCGAAATTTCTATATGCCAGTTAGAGTTTATTTATTTTGTTTTGTTGGCATATGATAGTGTATATGTGTTATATATACTTTTGCTTTAAATAAAAATAATAACAATTAAACACTATATTAATTTTACATTAGATATCAATAACATTTAAATTTTAATAGAATATTTAAAGTTACCCATTGCAACCAAAATGTTCTAATAAAAGTGCAACTTTTAAATTTATTTTACCTAAATGATAAATAAAGAAAATATGTTTTAAATGATTGTTGCTTGAAAATGAAAGGTTGTAGAGTTAAGTTTTTTCAAATGAAAAACAATCCATCTTGATATGGTAAAGTGAAAAACTAAGATTACTTTAACATTTCGCAATTTATAGCAAAATATGATTTAATAAACTATCGCAATAAGGTATATTTAGTGTACTTACAAAACTTTCGAATTTTAAATGGCTTTTCTTCGAGATAAATGTTGCCTGCTTAACTTCGAATTGAATTAAATACTCAGTTGTTTGAAAGTTAATCCATAAACTTCTAACTAAGAATACACTCTAACATTAAGCTTATTATTTCAATATGATTTTTATTCAAGGAAGCGTTCTATTTTGTAAACTTAAAAGGAGTAGAACGAAATTCCTAATTTTATAAAAGCACGAGTTTTTTTATCACATAAGCTTGAGAATTTTTATCTGGTAATTTTGAAACTTTGTTTATATTCCTCACATTTTAGGTCAAACTCTGGGATTTTGAACCTCTTTCCCTCTTCTTATCTTAATCAAAACTTGTTACATCTGAGCTTTACAAGAATATAAAATTCAAGACACATTTAGAAAATTTTTGTTGACCACTAAACATTAACTAAATGGGTAGATTTCCAAAATTTTAAATGGTTCTAAAAAAGTCCTAAACTTTGACAAGATTTTTTAATACATTTTTTACAGTTCAATTCAAAATAATATTGATCACAGTGTTGTAAGCTTCAGTAATTTGCTAAGAATTGCGAAAACTTATGCTAGATTGAATTATTAGACTAAATTTCAATATCATTACCTTTCTATAGGGTTTTCTGCTTATGAGAATTGAAGGTTTTATTTAGCTTCAGAAATTAAAATAATTAGTGGATTTTAAATTAAAATATGATAGTTAAACTCCACCTTTTAATGAATACATTTGTCATTTTATACAGTTTTGATAATTTAAATTTTTCTTTAAAAATTAGTGAAATGAAGCTTAACGTATAGTCAAGGACATTTCCTCTTTGCAGAATTAAAATTACATATTTCTAGCTTATTCCAGAAAATAATTTAAAATTATTGTTATAAAACAATTTTTTAGAAATAAATATTGCTTTTGAATGTGAACAAAATTTTGAAATATCAACTGTGATTTAAAAGTTGTAAAAATGTTTCAAACTTTAATACACATATATATAATATAGACATCCAGCATCCACATAAAAATAGATTGATACTTGTGTTGGAATATTGAAAATCATTTTTGAGAATTATTATAATATTAAAGAACATTAACTGAAACAAAATTATACGCTAATTTACTTTTTGCATATACTTAGTTACAAAACCAACTTTCAATTTCTGTAAAGAAGGGCTTCTTTTATTTTTCGATTGTTAAAATTTTTTTTTGAAATGAAGATTTATTTGTAAAACTAATATTGTTGACCGAATTTTTTTTATAGTCTACTATTATTTTAGTTCGGATTTTCCGCAGGAGTAGAGAATAACAATCTTCAATTTTTTTAGTTTTTATTTTTAACTAAGGAAATATGGGGAAAAAGTGACTTTAAGTGACCGAAAACTTTTGATTAATTTATTATTTATCACAGAAATATTATTTATCTCATGTAAGTTTTTTTATAGGAGCACACCTGAAACTTTCCCAAAAGTCGGCTTTTCCTTTTTTTCATTTCTTAAAGTACTACATTGCATGCAATAATTATGTAATCTATTTTCCTGTTAGAAGTTTCGAAAGAGTCGCAACAACCAATGCAGAATTTCGTATTATGCACCTCACTCGAATCTTTAATTTCCAGTTTCTTTTTCGGGGAAAACCTTTTTCTAACTTGTTTCATCGGGACAGTCACCGATTTGGAGCTTTTCAAGCCTGCTTCGAAACTGTTCTGACGAGGTCGTTCGAAAACATTTTAAAAAGTTTAATCTTTTTTAAACTTTAAAAGAAGATTTTCTTCTCTTTTTGTTTTAATAAACGATATTTTGCAGAATTCAAATGTTTTGAAAATAATTTTTTCATTTTAATACAAAATATTTTCCAACGCTGCAGATTTAGTATTTTTTGTAACTTTTTCATAAAAAAAATTAATATAACCTATGCATTTAGATACTTAAAATTTGTTTGGTGTATTCAAAGTAGAATGGTTAAATTACATTCAATAGGAATGAAAGTTTGTAAAAATGTCGAATTTTATTTTATTCTCCCTTAATATTTAAACTTTTTCACTATAGTTTAATTTTCTGAAAGAATAATATTTGAAATATTTATCCACGTGAAAGGTATAAACTGAATCAGTAAAAAATTAAATGTTAAACTATTAACTACAAACCGTCAAACGATTAGCCAAATTTATACTGTCAAACGATTAGCCAAACTTAAAACAAATCAACATCATTTTTGACTAGACGAAAAATGAAAACAGAAACTGATTCACTGGGAACTAGAGCAATGAGCATAGGGTCAGAAGTCTGGTAAAATTTTACCAGTTAAATTTTTGTTGAGACTTTCCTATGTAATTTTGCTCCATTCTAAAGCAGAAAATTTGGAAGAAAATAAATTACAGACCTCTAAGAATGTAAATTGCTTAAGATTTATAAAGCTACTGGTTCTTGTCATTGAATATTAAAAAGAATAATGTAACTAAACTAAATTTGAATTACATTTATCATTTGTAGAGGAACTCGGCAATATTGTACGTTTCATACATCCATTAACATTAACCACATAGCATCGAGACGAGTTTCACTTTTTTTCTTGTATTATTATTATAAACAATTTTTTAAAGTATAACAGAACATAAGTAGTATTTCCTGTTGTATTTAGGTTCTTCCTGTATCTTGTGTATCTCTCTGATTTCCAATGTCATTTCTTTAAATTCTTCACCCAGTTAATGAATTATTTTCGTCTCTTATCAGTTTGAGAATGACGGCAATTCGTCTGTCAGCTTTGCGAAATTACATTGTATGATTTGTAACACTTTGTTTATTTTTACACGCCAAGGGCTCTTAACATCTAATAAATAAATTTGCATTTATATTTTAATCTAATGAGAGGGAGGAGTTATTAGTCTGTTATGTGTTCATTTATTATAGTTATCTGTTCGCTTTATTCGACCAAGGACAGATCAGCGCTTACTCTCCGGAGCGCTCTTCGGAATTTTCTTCAATTCGAACGCGTTTAATTTGAGAAAGAATAAAAGTTAGCTAATGCATGCTGATTGTATACATGCTAGATTTTAATTCGGTACATGCTAGATTTTAATTCGGTAATAAAAATTTGGACTATAAAATGGAATATTACTAATTTATTAAAATCTAAAAGCAATTTTACTCACAAGTTTTCACTTTAAATAACTCTTTATGAAAAATAAAAATTTAATGAAATTCATTTTTCCGAATAAAATTTCAATATCTGTAAAGTTCACAACTGAGGCATATCAAAGTTACATAATCGTAGTGTGAAAGTAAAGAAAAAGTTTGTCTTTATGTTTTTGTAAAAAATACAGTAAAGTTCGCATTGTGTTTAGCTATGTAAAATAAATTAATGTACGTTTAAATGTAATAAAATTTTTAAAAAAATAAAAGCATTTTTTTTTATCTGGTTTTCCCTCTGCTGCTGCAGAACATAATCAAAATTTAATTAAAAATTAGCATGAATTAGAATACTTTCTGTTCAATTAAAAATAGAAGAACTGTATTTTACTTTATAATGTTCATAAAAAATTACACTACTTTTCAGTTCTTGAATGGTATAAAGAAATTTCTTTAAAAAAAGAATCAAAGAACCATTTCAAATATTTACATATCATTACTATTTTAAGTAGAGCAGCAATATATGTATAAATATATTTTTTATATTTTATTACCGTTGTTAAAAAACCGGCTCAATTTTGGATTCATGACTACGTATTTTATATTTCATT